TTTGTTTTGAAAATAAGCTCTATCGTTTTTGTAAATATCTGCAATTAAAATGTTTTTCCATGTTAAATCCATAGTCATCTACGAATCTTTTAACAGCAAGGTGGCCAAATGGGCGAAACAAAATAGTACCAAGTTCTGAAAATTTTCGTACGTGGATTAAAAGTGATCACTTTCACTTTTTTCCCTTTGGTCTGTACATGGGCATCGCCTACTGATGACCAATTTCTCTAGCAAGGAAAGATCAATTTTCCCTGCTTTTGCCTTGAGAGAAGATGAGGTACAAGTTGGAGTTGGGAACTATGAAGGAATCCACTGATTTACTTTCATTTTGAAATACAGATCTATTTCCTGCTGAGCAAAACAAGGCAATAAAATACTAGTGGTGGAAAAAGAACATGATACTGTTGGTGTTATGATAACATCAGTCACCTAAAAATGCAATCCATTTTAGTACTGTATACATTTTGGCTTGGAAAAAATACTTAAACAGTTTATTCAAGCTTCTATTTTCATTCAAATTATTTATATATTACTACGTTTTAGAATTAGTATTTTACCAAGAATAAAACTTTCGTACAAAGCTGTATACAACATGAGGTGTGGTCATACGATGCAATATTTGTCAAAACAGTTGAAACTTCTGATAATCTGCATTACTGTCATTGATTTATATACATTCTACTACAGCTAGGGGGTGACCGACATTCCAGTGGTTTGTGTATCTGCTGCTATACTCCGCACAGCTAGTGTGATGCGAACCAAAAAAAGACTGAAAAACCTGATCGCCATTCGAAGTCAGGAGTACTGGAAACATTACTACAGTCGATATTCAGTATAACAATCATTCCATTACAATGATTGGTACAATAAGCCCGCAGTTAATGAGTATAGTTAAATCAGTTTTCATTACAGCAACAACTTGTTATAATGTCCTTTCTTGTAGAACACAGTCATACACTAATGAGCATCAGTAAAAGAGTAAAACAATGTTAAAAATATATTTACATCAAGGGTTTACATATCAAATAAGATTTCAATATCAATTAACAGTTTCCTACTTAAATAAATGTGCAACAGAGTAATTAAAAACTAGTCAGCTCTTGTAATAAGTGAAAAAAAAATCCCATAAACTAGAAAACTGAACAGAAGGAAAAGGAATTTTAAATAAAAGGAAAAGAGTGCAGATATTTAAAATTTTATTTAATGTTAAACTACTATCACAACAGGTGTATAATTAAGTTAATTACCTAGTCAAGTTTTCAAGCAAGAACAATTATATAACGAACAACATCACACTATATACCTGAAGTATTAATCAGCTTTATCCTAAGTAAACTTACATGTTTCCGTATTTATGAAAAAAAAATCTGACATCCAAAAACATTCCCATCACTGGCAGATACAATGAATCAGATAGTCACGATACCCTCTCCCTTCAAATCTGCTGTCTCTATCACATAACTTCAAAAAATTTTTAACTTGCTCACACAATAAGCCTGAAAACTAGTTCGTCATAAAAAGAATATATTGTTAATAATCTTCATCACTAACGACTTAAAAGCGCTCATCACACGGGGAATGAAATTTAAAAAAGGAATTTTTTTCGGCATTCAGATATAATGGAATGAAAGCAGATCATGATAAGGATGAAGTTTGGAGAAGAGCTTTGCTTATGGGCAAGGGCCTCCTATCTGCATTACACATGTTTTCATAGAAGTGCAAAATTAGTCTTCTAAATTTAATGTTTAAAGGTGTAAATCTAGACACAATAACACGCCGAATAAATACTGATTCAGAAGTCAAACAACAAAAATCAGCGTTAATTCACAAAATTTTCACAGGACTAGTTTCGATGGTTTTACCAAACCATCATCTTCAGCTGCAAAACCGCAAATGAACAAGATAGGAAATAATGTTTAGATAAGATAAGAAAGCCTGGACAAGAATAAGCAAGTGGCGCCATCTGTTGGCGAAACCAGAACTAAAACATAATTTCTCTAAAAGCCGAAGGCAAATTTGGATTGGAATTAGGATCGTTAACTAGAACAGAAAGATTTTTATGAATGTGAAATGCCTCTAGAAAATCCAGTTCTCCAATGGAAGATGTTTTTTGAATAATTTTGGCAGCAGAAAAATTGAAAGTGTGATTTTCGGACCAAATTTCGGACCAATGTTGAGCAACAGAAGACTTCTGTGTTTCCTTTTTTCTAACATATGCCTCATGTTCTTTGACGCGAAATTTTAAGGCTCTCTTAGTTTGGCCAATGTAAATTAAACCGCACTGGCAAGGAATCCTATAAATACCCCAGGAATTCATATCCGGAATGGGGTCCTTGAGTATAGAAGTTGGAATTTTATTGATGGGAGAGTAAACAACCCGAAAGTTAAATTTCTGCAAAATATGTGCAACTTTATAGCTAATTGATGGAAAGAAGGGAATGACAACAGAATTTTTATAATCTAAAAAAGAGTGTGGCTTTTAGTGTGTTGAGATGAGAATTTTTTAACTGCTTGATTAATAATGTTGGGTGAAAAGCCCCTGTCAATAGCTATTGCTTTTAAATAATTTAGTTCTTCATCAAGGGCTAGTTTAGAGGAGCAAACTTGAAGAGCACGGAAAACATAGGAATAAAATGAAGCTAACTTTTGTTTAGTCGGATGACATGATTTAAAGTGTGGTGGAAGGCAAACCGATGAAGGTTTACGGTAAACTGTAGTACTGAAGTTGGATGTGTTACGTGTGACCAGAATGTCGAGAAACAGGCCCTATTGTATCAAATTTAGGTACTGCCTCGTATCCATTAGCTAAATATTTAGTTTCTAGATTTTCCACTCTATTAGACAATAACATTTACACCATAAAAAATTCAATAGAGTTTGTAAAAAAGGTTAAAAAATATTTCTCCTCGTAATTTACTCATGGTTTCTTTTGATGTAAAATCATTATTCACCAATGTCCCAGTGGAGGGTGCATTAAGATGTCTAGAAACCAGACTTCGCGAATTTCATTTCTCTTGCATCGAAATTGATGAGCTAATTTCTCTCACTCAACTCTGTTTGAAACAAACACATTTTGTTTTCCAAAATAAATATTACAAGCAAACTGAGGGATTAGCCATGGGAAGCCCCTCAGTCCCATCCTGGCTGATATCTACATGCATTATTGTGAATCAAAATTGTTTGAAACTTTAAACTTCCCGGCATGGTTCCGCTACGTAGACGATACTTTTACCCTGTTTGAAGGTAATAAAGATGATTTAAATAGAGTTCTTTCAACAATGAATTCTATTGATCCTGCTATTCAGTTCACTTTTGAACTTGAGACTTGCAATTCTCTTCCGTTTCTCGACATTCTGGTCACACGTAACACATCCAACTTCAGTACTACAGTTTACCGTAAACCTTCATCGGTTTTGCCTTCCACCACACTTTAAATCATGTCATCCGACTCCTAAACAAAAGTTAGCTTCATTTTATTCCTATGTTTTCCGTGCTCTTCAAGTTTGCTCCTCCAAACTAGCCCTTGATGAAGAACTAATTTATTTAAAAGCAATAGCTATTGACAGGGGCTTTTCACCCAACATTATTAATCAAACAGTTAAAAAATTCTCATCTCAACACACTAAAAGCCACACTCTTATTTTAGGAGATTATAAAAATTCTGTTGTCATTCCCTTCTTTCCATCAATTAGCTATAAAGTTGCACATATTTTGCAGAAATTTAACTTTCGGGTTGTTTACTCTCCCATCAATAAAATTCCAACTTCTATACTCAAGGACCCCATTCCGGATATGAATTCGTGGGGTATTTATAGGATTCCTTGCCAGTGCGGTTTAATTTACATTGGCCAAACTAAGAGAGCCTTAAAATTTCGCGTCAAAGAACATGAGGCATATGTTAGAAAAAAGGAAAACACAGAAGTCTTCTGTTGCTCAACATTGTTGGTCCGAAAATCACACTTTCAATTTTTCTGCTGCCAAAAATTATTCAAAAAACATCTTCCATTGGAGAACTGGATTTTCTAGAGGCATTTCACATTCATATAAAATCTTTCTGTTCTAGTTAACGATCCTAATTCCAATCCAAATTTGCCTTCGGCTTTTAGAGAAATTATGTTTTAGTTCTGGTTTCGCCAACAGATGGCGCCATTTGCTTATTCTTGTCCAGGCTTTCTTATCTTATCTAAACATTATTTCCTATCTTGTTCATTTGCGGTTTTGCAGCTGAAGATGATGGTTCGGTAAAACCATCGAAACTAGTCCTGTGAAAATTTTGTGAATTAATGCTGATTTTTGTTGTTTGACTTCTGAATCAGTGTAAATCTAGCTTTGAATGATCCGTACGAGCCCCTTAAAGGCTTCAGGCCTTTATGCAAATGCTTACCTTGCATACTCCTATATATGCCACTGTCTTTAGCTCTTGCCCCACTAGTGGTCAAGTGGTTAAGACTGCTGTATACAGGTAGTTTGACCAGGGTTCAAATGAAGGCAAACAGGCTGGCTGCAAGGTCGGTCTTCCTATGTGCATTCCTTAGAAAAAATTTTCTTGAAGGATCTCTTCTTATAGCTGATAGGCCTTGTGTGTTTAGCCATATTAAAGTAACTTACATCAGCCTTCATCTCTTACTACAGATCTAATAAACTTCTTGCATTCACCAAATCTAGCTTTATCAATAAGTTTCTACGTGCTACCATTTCAGTACACATATAAAGAACGAAGCTGGCTTAAAAATTCTGTCAATTATCCTCAGCTTAAGATGCAATAAATGCCAATTCAGTATATATATATATACACCTTCATTTACAAATATAACAAATTATAAGCACCTTCAAGTTATAGAAAGTTGACTTCTCCTAGGAAAATACTGCATGCAAAATTAAATATTAAAAAAAAGATGGGAAAAATAGAAAAGATTCAATTTTTTTTTAATATTTTAAGAAACAACAGTTTATTTCATAATATTTTATTTTAAAAAAGAGTAAATATAAGAAAGACTCAGGTTTATGCTATATTTTGTGAAACAATGGTGTATTTCACAATATTTTATTTTTCAAAAAAGGTAAATAAAAAAATCTTATATACAAGCCATGAAATGCAGTCATAAAGTGAAAATTCTTCATTTTATCTTTACCTACAAGCACGCCTTTTTACAAATTCACATTATGTACATGAAATGCTATTTCTTTAAAAAAAATTTATAGCAATTTCTTTCAAATAAAATGCACACATACTGTTTAGATTAATTCTACTATATGATGACATTTCCTTTTTCCAAGATTCACAATAAAAATTGGAACAGTTCAGCTGAACAAAAATGGAAACAAGGGAACACAGTACACATAATAATTTCAATTTTACATAAAAATTTTACAAATCTTGCAGTGAACTGCAAGTTATCACAGATTACTATGATAACTGGCTTTACTCAACTGTGTTGGGAATAGACATACAGGTTTAACAAAATACACGATCAATCTGCTTTTAAACATTTTCATAGAACATGTATCTCTTCTTAAAGCTATTAAATTAAGTATAAACACTGTTTTATTAAACCCTCTTCCTATAAACAACATTTTTTAAAAACTGGCTCATTATATGCTACTTCAGATATTATTGAAAGATTATATAAAGCAAATTTCTACATTCAAGTAACTTTCAAACAATCATTGAATATAGTACCTTCCATGTAAAACAGAACTAAATTTTAAAATGCAAGATATTATTAGGATGCTGATTGACATTTAAAATTTTAGATCACTAGCATCATGAAAAACTAAAAATGAAAGTCAATAAGATAGCCCTCATAATATCTGACAGTAGTCTAAAAGGCTGTATTCCTGGTCTTAAATATCTAATTCAGCTTTCATGACAGTTTTTCTGAATACTGAATTGAAAGCACACTATAATACAATAATATAATCTTCAAAACATTTCTCAGAAAAATTTCTAAATTTAAATAGCTTTGTCTTTTATTAAATAAGTTATTTGCTCAAGCATACATGAATATTACAAAAAGATCCCTCAAAATACTTTTTTAAATGCCAAATAGATAACCTAATAATAATACATCATCTGGCGACTATTTTAAACTCTGCAAATAAATATTTTTGCCACATTATCTTGAATTTCAAGAGTATCTATCATTCACCAAATATTTGCTGGAAGAGGGTGTGCAGTAGATGTTTCATTGAATGTAAATAAACGACAGATTCATCAAAAGAAATAAATTTTAAAAAATCGATATTTTATCCATTTTTCTCTCGTAAGAAAAAAAAAACTCACTATCTTACTTCAGTTACATATTCTGAATACAGCAAAATTAATAAAATCTCCAGCAAATTAAAAATTAGTTACATGCATAAATGACAAATTTCAAAATGTTAAATATAACAACATCAAACTCTGAATAAGAAATCAATCATTTGGTGTTAGCTTAAAACCAAAATGATAGATTTAGCTAAGCATTAATTTCATACATATTTATATATCATTTAAACATAGATAAAAGTCAGAGGGATTTAATCCTAAGTCAGAATTATGAAATTATGATTTAAAACAAACTACAAAAGAAAAAATGTATATGATATGTAAAAATGATTTAACAAATATAGCAGCAATACAAAAATACTTTGGCATAATGATTACACTGAACACAGTTTTTCTAAAACTATCAAATTAAATAACACAAAAAGAAAACGGTACTTCTATAAAATTCCAATTGAAAGCCACTTATTACACAATCTAGAAAGCATATTTCAATTTGCTTAAGATATTACCTGTCTCTCAAGGTTCAGACTTACAAATGAATATACACTGCACTTAAACTGCAATCGTCTTGTAAATTTTAGATAATATAGTCACATTAGATGACAAAATGATGATTTCACGAGGCAAATCCAAAGCTAATATTACCATTAAATTATTAGATGCATTTTTATAGAAAAATACAAATGTACACTAAACACTTGAATTACATAAATACTTAAAAGTATGCAATATGGGGGAGAATTCCCCAGGCACTAAGATAATTAAGTTTTATTATTTGAGAATAATTTTAATATTAAAGGAGAAATGTGCATAAGTATGAAAAATTACATTGCAAACAATCAAACCCTGTGATGCTCAGAATGATACAGCAAACCATTTCTACTATTCTGAAGTGCCACAAAATTTCATAATAAAAGGAAGATGATTCACTGCTTCACATCATTTGAATTATTAATATAAAGCTTTAGAGTTCAAACTTCCAGAACTTAAGAAAGAATTAGTACTGAAATGTAGAAGTAATTAGATATATTAATCAAATATTCATATAATTTACTTCAAAACAGATCTGCAGTTATTCACAAATTAACTTGCCATTTTAAAGTCAAGCAATGTCACTGAACAAATGAAGGGAGTAAATGTATGACAAGCAATGAAAAAAGTGCTGGTAATAACTATACAATTTAAACACAATTTTTAATGGAATTTTAATAATTGACATTTATCCTTTTGTAAAATACACTTAAGCTTTTTTAATATTTAAGACAGTTCAAGCACATGATATGTAAATTTATTTAAATTCAAGTAGGGAAATCATTTTTCTATACAATGCTATTTATTAACAGAAAGCACAAATGAGTTTGACATACAATTTAACAAGTTTAAAAATTTTTAATTTCACAACTGCAATAAAACCAGCACATATTTAATACACGTGTGTGGTTAACCAAAACACTCACTCGTTTTACACAACTATATAGCTATGATGAACAGAAATTAAACACACAGGAATGGTTAAAGATATCAGACAGGCAAAGGCATTTTATATATAATACTATGCTTTAAGAAGCCATACATTTTTTATGACAGTTGACATACAAAATAAAACTATTAGTATCTATTTTCCTGCTTCAAATGAAGAAGCAAAAAATATGCAAATTTTCATCCAGATAGATATTTTTACTTCATTTGCAGATTGAATTCTATAACTTGAATTTCCCAGTTACACAAATTATGCCAAAATTTTACACTAGAACTATCAGTTTACCAAATGACAGACTTTTCTCCAAGGTAGAAATATGTATATATTAAACGCTGATAGTTCTAGTGTTAAATTCTTAAAAAAAATATATATAATTTATTACTACAGCAAGCATGTAGCAGCAGATAAGTATTACATCTTGAAAGAAACATTCAAATAAGAAGTGATGATAAGAAGAGATTAATAGCACCTTCAATTGCTATTTAACAACATACTTCAATTGCTATACAAATTCAGAATAATATAATGTCTGCTATTTCGATAAATGTCATCACTTTACTAGTCCATAATTTACTCTAAACAATGCACAATAAACACTTTTTATCATGACAATCATCAATATTTGAATTATTAAAAGCAAGTTAAATTCAGTTTCACTCGACATTTTATACAATAAATTAGTATTTTTCAGCACCATAATTATAAGATATTTAATTTTTTAAGCATCTGGAGTTAAAAAAAATTGAACCTAAAACACAATGGATTTCAAGTCTATTCCAACACGAATAAAAAAAATCAAATGATTTTATGCAGCATTAATCACATAATAAAGCGGTGACCTTTTAACAATATTTCAGTGTTTACATATGACCACAACTTCATTATGCAATTGTTATTTAAAGTTGACAAAAATGCTCAAGTTTGACTCGCACTTCAGTAGGAACATAACATAATTTTTACAATTCACAAGCAGTATAAAATAAATTAAGAAGTTTTCATTTGTAGCAAATAGTGACAATAATGTGCTAATGAAAGAATAAAGTAATATATACAAATATAGTCCACTAATGTCAGTATAAATATTTTTGATAATTTAAAAGTTCTCTACTTATAAAAACATATATTAAACAAATGCAGTATAATCTCATTAAAAATGAAAAATAATCAAACAGAAAACTTATCACGGAAGCATAAAAAAGAGAAAACACTGAATCTTATTCAATAAAATAATGTATAATTACTTTGACATTTAACAACCAATGATTCTGATCTTGTACTTCAAGAAAACAGAATGAGAGATTCAAAATAGTTGTCAATTTGCACCTGAAATCTATTTTTACGGCTAACATAAATAGAACAGCAACTGTTAAATTACATTATCTAGTTTGTCACAGACAAATAAAAAAATCCCCCCATCAAAAACATGAAACATGAGAGACAAAAATCACAGCGATCATATACAAAAGACTAAACAATTTGGATTAATTTAATTTTCAGTTTAACATTTAGAGCACTATGTACTACAATACTTGATTATTTTTTCCTATACTGTCCATGACTTTAATTCTCAGCTCAAGTGTTGACCATAGCAGCCAACATGATTCATTTTCATAGTTAATATAAGAAATGCCTTTCTAAGAAATCACAGCTAAAAGCATACTCATACTTTTCAATATCCAGTAGTCCATATTTTCACATTTTGGTATTCTTCTGTAGGCCACGTAAAATAACAAAATTTTGAAGATTAATGGCTCACATATTGTAGGCTACATATATTGGATCTAGTTGATCTGCTAAAAATCCATCACGCAAGTGCATTCGCTGTTTCTCTCCTCTGGAGTTTATAGGCACAACTCCTGGATCGACTACTACAACAACACCTACAATTAACTGGTGTTCTTCCAAAACTACATTTGTGACTAGGGGTACCAGATCTAATGCTTCATTCTCATTGCCGTCCAGTTCTACCACTACAACAAGCAGGTTAGTCCAGGTAAAAACAGCACTGAAAAATAATCATATCATATAGGCAAAATAGATTATTTAAAAAAATTAAATTTATTAATTTAAATTAAAAAGATCAATTTGCCTTTAGAAATTTTAAAATTCTGAGTAATTATCAAAATTTTTTGAAAAATTTTAGTAGTAATTCAAAGATCTGATAATTAATACTGCTGCTTAAAAATTCCTGCTTAGTACATATTAAAATTTTCGGTACTTATGTATTATCGCAACCAGGTTGCCGCTATTTGTGAGTTTGAGTAAAAAAGTATGAATAGAAAGAAAATGTACATTTATTAATTACAGATAATTTTAATACAGTTTCTTATATTATTTTATTTTAAATATAAAAACGCAAATTAAACCCTTCCGGTTTCGAATTTGAATAAGTTGCAGAATTTATTTTTTCGGCGGAAATCTTTGGCTATTGCTTTTAGCACTGATTGAAACCATATTCGCCATAAACCATGTACATGTCGACTTATTTTTACTTAAAAAAACATCCCAGAATTGCACAAAAATGGCATTGCGCACACTCTTGACTTTATCCATGTACACTGCTATTTTCTCATAAATTACAAAAATTTGCACGAAAATGCAGGAAAATTTTGTGAATATCCACAAGCTCTTTTTACAAAACTACGTATAACACGTAGGGTTGTCGTAAGTAGGGTCGCCAAATTTTGCAATTTATGCGAATTTTGGCCTGGTCACGTTAATACATAAATAAGTACCAAATTTTCTTTGCTCAGAGGTACTAAAAAATTTCACGCATAATTTCACACTAGAAACACAATTTTCTGAATGGTAAACTAAAATAAAAGCAAATTTAGTATAAACTTTCATGTAATTTTTGAAAATAATGTGGATAAACAAGATTGCTGAACAAGAATATGCATTTTGACTGACTTCATTATGTTAATATAGGCATGATACCTCCTATTCACAGCAATGCAGAGATAAATTCAAATCAAATGCTTAAGATTAAAATGCTTGAAAATAATATTACAACAAATGGTATTAATGACTTTCTGTCAAGCTTGTTGTTACAATGCACTTGATAATTATATATGTTGCTGCGATCTGCTTGAAAATAATATGTAAAACACATATTAGTAATGGCTGTCAAACCAGTTATTGCAATGCACTTGAGAATTACACATTAATGGGATGCACAGAGGAAGAAAACTGGCTTGTATTTATGATAAAATTCACACAAAGTTAATTATGACAGGTCATTTCTACCTGGAATTGAAATCAGAATAAAGAATGTTTTCCAGCATTAATTACCTAACCAATGGTTAGTCCAAGTGTATTTAAAAATGTCAAAACCATATGAAACGGCCAAAATATACATTTAGTTTTAGATCAACTTCATGTTGGGAAGAGACAGTACTGATATATTTCAAGTAGCTGAAGGAAAAATCCCCTCCCCAATTCTTTTGATTTAATTGCAAAAAAATAAAAATCACCACAAAAATTTCCATACAGACTGGAATCAGAAAACATGTTGCAATGAAAATTAATGCATAATAAAAATATCAAGACGACAGATAAACAAATTAATAAAAACTACCACATAGAAAAGTGAGCAAAAATAAAATTTTGTATGTAATGAAACATTCACTTCAGACTTCAGTGAAATGGCTTTTGCCTTAAGGCAATAAACTGTATATGACGTTTACATTCTACCCCACAATAAGTAGTCAATTTCATCTAATTAGGTATAATTTAATGGTATAAACAGGTATAATAAATAGTATTAATTTTCAGTTCTGTCGAACATTAGTATCCAAATTCTAGATATAACTGTAGTTAGTTTTTAAGCGATATTTTGAATCATTTGAGTCTTAATTAATATATATACAATATTAAAGACCTTATAGTTCTAAAAATTTTAGTAAAGAGAAAGTAAAACCAAAACATTTAAACATTCGTACACATGAATACATTTACCTTTAAGCATTCATACATATGAACAACTACAAGCACACTAATGCATAAATAAACTAAGCACAAATATTGTATTACAGTTACAGAACAGTTGATACGATACAAATTTTTTCTTAGCTAAATTATGAGCAATTCAAATTACAGAAGAATATAGATAACAACCTGGTCTCTCCCGGAATTCAAATAAAAACATGGATAATATTTTTGCATCAAACAACTTAAAACCCATATGAGGAAAAATGAAATGTTTTGGTATCCTATGATACAAAAATTAGGTATGTTTTCATAACTGATTAATAATAATAAAAACAGAATTCTAATTACTTGATAATCTGAAAATACTCACCACTCAGACACTTTTTTATGGCACCTTAAAACACTGTTTTCAATATCTATTGGATGGTATCTCATTCCTCTAAGCATAACAGTTTCATCCAAAGATCCAACTACAAAAACTGCATCATGCAGTTCTGCAAAAGAAAGAGATTCTGATTATTATCTTCTACAAAATTAAGGTAACAAATTCAAATATCTTCTTTATTAAAAATTCATTTTTGCACACACACACACACACAAAAAAGCAGCAAGCACAAACACTCATTATAGTGACAATTCAAGGCAAATATTTGGTTATTAAGAAAGTATTCTCAACTTGATTTTCTAGAAGTCATCTCAAATTAGGTATTCCTCATCTAAAACGCAATGCAGGTGAAGTGCAGAATCTTCTGCATTGCCAGAATCCTCTGATTTTAGAATGCATTACTAAAATAAGTTTTAATGTTAAAAATACCTGCATGACATTTTCATGGATGTTATTAAGTAACATTAGTTTTTTTTTTAATATGTAATGTTTGAAACCAAAAAATACCTCCTTCTTATCTCTAACGAGATAAAAATATACAGCTATACATAAGAAAAAAGATCCTGCTTAAAAATGTTTTATTAAAGACATCATTTAGTCAAAATGCTTTAGCAACTGGCCTTAATCCGATTACATAATTTATATACAGAGTAACAACACACGATATGCAAGTTCTGAGAGAACTTCCTGCTCTCTCAGGAATGCACCACAGTATCTACCGTGGGGTCAGTGAAAATGATCAAGGAAGAGTTGTTAAGGACATTCCCCCCTCTCTAGCGATGTTTCCGGAGACTCATCTTGAAAGTGTAAAAAGCTTGCTTTTGTCCACCAAATGTCAAGAGAAAAATGCATTCGAGTGTCGTGAAAGCTGTGGTCTTTTCCCTTCGGTAACAATGCTGTAATGTTAACTTATTTTAATTAACCAAGAAAGCCTATGTTAAATTTTGAATTAAATCTAGAAAGAAAACCAACCTGTCTTAGTTTTTCATCAACATAAGTTCAGTGAGATTACAGCTTAAATTTATTGGTGACAGCGTTTCAATATGAAATCCATGGTTACAGTTTTAGTTTGGCAGTGTTTCTACTCTAGAAAAACTGTGGGCATCAGTCTGGGTAAAGAAGAGGACTGTGAGGTTGCAAAATATATAGCTTGTCTTAAGTTTTTCAGGACAGTCAATGTCCAATGATCTTCAACATCACCGAGTTTTGTAGGACCGCCAGCATCTGTAAATGTTTTAGTGAAGAGAAAACTGTCAGGCTCTGAAATTTAGTTCATCTGCCGCATCATTCAGTTTCGTAGATCCACCAGTGTCCATAAATGTTTTAGTGAAGAGAAAAGGACCATCAGGCTCCAAAATTGAGCTCACCTGAAGTACTGCAGGACAGTCAACATCCAAAAACCTACAGCACGATGCTTCAGTGCAAGACTAGCACTGTCTGAAAAGTGCGAGTGTTTTGAGAAGTGCTTTAAAGTACAGTCAAAAGTCTTTAACCCGGACGTCCATAATCCGGAATGATCTATAATCCGGACCTCAAAGCTACATGCGTTGACGCATGCGCATAATACCTTTACGCATGCGCGTTTAATGTATAACGGACGGTATAAGCTAAGCTAAAATTATCTAATTATCTATTTCAGTTAATGTTGCAGATTGCATTGTTCCTTAATCTTCTAATTGGATCCAGCTTATTATTTTTTGCAGACTGTTAGAGCAATTTTATAAAAGTAAGCTTGAACTTTCGATTATGTCAAAAAGAATTTCCGATTCTGGAGCTGCCAAAGGATCTACAAAGCGAAAGCATGTTTCGATGTCCATCAAACAAAAAGTGGAATTGCTGCAAAAAATGGATAAAGGCATATCCTTTGTTTCTCTAACCATTTCGAAATCTGTTTATCAATTTCCCGCTGCTCTGCGGGGGGGGGGGGGGCGACGCAGTGCGCAATGAACTGGAAGTTGATCTGTCAGCACTATCCTTATCTTCAAGGCAGATGTTTTTATTTTATTGGGTGTATAATTCCTTACTAATTTCATCTCGATGTACTCCGTCTTTGATATGATTTAAATTAAATTCCTCGTCATTATAAATATCACGAATACACATCAAATAGTTTTCTGGTTGCAATTTTCTAATTTCGACTATGCGTAATGTATGCTTTACGCATGCTCGCGTTGAAAGAAATGTTTAATAAAGTAAACAAATAAATATTAAGCTTTTTTTTTTTGTAAATTTTGATATCCTTTAGATCATAATTGCTCTTTATTTCATAAATTACTGTTTCACATTTTTAATTTTATAATTTCTGCATGCCATCTTACCAGATTTAAACTGATGATCTATAATCTGGAAAAACCGATAATCCGGAATCGCCGAAGTCCCGACGAGTCCGGATTAAAGACTTTTGACTGTATCAGGCATTAATAAACATTTTAAACTGGGAAAAACAATATCTACAGAATTCAGGTTCAACCAGGCCACCAAGTCTACAAATCTAGGTAGGTAGATAGACCTTGGATTTTTTTATATTGAGGCAGTGAAGTAATTTAGGTTATTTCTGTAATTTAATTTATACAAGTTTTAGTCAACATTGCTTCCTGTAAAGCTTAAAGAAATATGTTGCTTTGGTTTTGTGTTTCAAATAAGAAAGCTTAACTTGTGTCAATAGATCTTTTAATACCTGAAATGTTGACGAGTTCTGCTGAAATTGAGCTTATATAATTAAATGTTAGAGAAAGAATCATTATAATGCTGAAGGTTCTACATTTCAGCACATCATTTCTAATTTAGTTTAAATGTTTTAAATACTAGAATTTCATATTACAGTGTCTAAACCATTAGCTTGCGTAAGAATTATAGGAAATGAAAATTTCAATTAAGCATGTCTACGGAAAAGATTAGAAATTCCTTGTATTTTATATTTAAGCTGTTGTTATATCAATATTTAATTATGTGCATTTACATAATTTTTTAAATTTACCTTTGCATGCATACTTTAATATACCTAAAAAATTTTGATAATCTGAATGTAAAATTTATTGTTTTATAATAAATCCTCAAGCTGAACAATTATAATTTATTGCAGTATGCACATATTCTGGTGTAAATTGTCTTGAATTTGTGTTGTAGATCAGTTAAATCTGTTGTTAAGGATCGTGTGAAAAATCTCTTGGAAAATATCACTTCAGTAAGGTTGGAGAGAGAAAAAGAGGAACAGGATAAAATATAAAAAGAAAAGAGAGGCCATACCAAATTAGGAAAGAAGGAGAAGAGAAGCAAAATAGAATTAGGAGAGAAGAGAAAAAATTCAAAACAACCAAACTGAAATTACAGACCACAGTCTTTAGAAAAAACTGGACACTGGATGCTATTTACTCAGGAACCAGATTGCTGAAAATTAGCAGAAAATGAAAATGAATCACTTTTGTCCTGAACTGATGAACCAGGATTGATATGTCAAACTGTCAATGTCAGAAATGCGAAACTGTCAATACTGAAACTGAAAACATGGGAAAAAATACAAAGGAGTGAAAAGGACAGGTACACAGCCACAGAGAAAATTTCGCCCCCCCCAACCAATGAGGCAATTACACAATGACCAGGAACTCTGCTACCAGAAAATAAAGCTGATTCTCCTGAAGAAGAACCGAGGAGCACACCATTGCTTCTGCTTCACACAAAGGTGAATGAGCTACCTTTTTTCAATATACAGGGCTAGGTTATCTCACTTGCAAAGAGCAAGTAAGGCTTTAAAACCATTTTTTGACCTAGCAACATTAGATGCTGAAAGTAGCTCTTAAAAATGTTGATAAAATAGAAAATGTATTGCTTTTTAAAGGACAGGAAGACCTGGAAAATGGTCAGAAGCCAACTGGTCATTCCTGAAGCAATTCAAGAAATTGAATGTGGAGAACTCTTTATATTTGTATTATTATTTGTCCACTGGCCCAAGAGAGGGGGGCTACCAGCTTTCTCCCTGTTCTCCACTAGGGGAAAATTCGGACTGGTTACTGTGTTCCTGGCTGCCGTTGGTGAAGCACGTGCTCACCTCTTTTCCGCCTCATGATGTCTTGGTAGCTGTAAATATGACTTTCATTATTTTTTACCTACATGGATTTGCTACCTGAACTGCATTCAATGTGACTGTGTGTGAGTGAACTTGTGTTGAAATATATATCTTTTCTAGTGTTAAATAAAAATGTTAATATTACCGAGCCAAGCTATCATCATTTTATCTGCAGCAACATACACAACACAAAAATGGCATCCATAAACAAAAGCCATATGAATATAGATATGTGTGAACTTTTACCAATCACACCTACCAGGGGGGATATCAAGATTGCACTTTGTTTAGCTTCCCAGTACTCAGATTCTGTTCTGGTAATAGACATAACTTCTGTTACTGTGTTGGATGCATTATTAAAACTTTCCACTAGAGTGCGATTTCCTAAAGAAATCTGGTACGATCAAGAAACTGTAGTTACGTTAGTTTGGAAGTGGATTGTCCAAAACAAATTATATTGCAAATTTACCAGGAAAGAAAGGAAAATCCACAATTGGCCATTTTTAATTATGTTAAAGCCTTATATAGAGCTGCCTAATGAGAATAATTGTTTGTAAAGTATAGCATTGTTCATCTACATTCAACCAGTGTAATACTAATTTCCTTTTTAGTTTTGCTTGAGTGGCAACAGCTGTAAAATGTTATTAAGTTGGTAAAATAAACATGTTCAGTTGTGTTTACATTTTTGAGAGATTATATAGGTAGAAATAAGTTGATGAATGGAAAGAATGGTATACATTTACTGTCATATCTAACAATGTTTATTTCATTAATTATGTAAATTGAATTGATAATGAAGTGGTTTTTTTCTTATGTTGATGCCAGTTTAAATATGAATGATTATTTTGATGTCATTAAGTGCAGTAATTCAGGATCAAGCTTCAAGTCTCCGTAAAGATACTTCCAGAAACTGATAAATAAATATCCACAAGCCTTCCTTCTCAGCCTGGGTAAATGTATAATACAATATAAGGTTTCAAAAATGTATAATAGTTTAAGGATGTACATTGCATGCATAATAATTGCTTTCAGAAAAACTATGATTTATTTTGTCTGAGTGTAATTAAGCTTAGTCATTATTATTATTTTACAATAGCCTCAATTAAAATTTCAATTTTAATCCTTGTCACTTAACCAGCATACTGTAAATATCTGTCTTTTATAATATTCCTTTTTAGCTGACTGTCTCTAGCAGAGGTAATTAACCAAACTATTAGCAGTGGTAATTAAGCAATCCCCGGGCAGGAAAGGAGTTGTAGCAAAACAACATGTGTGCAGCCTTAGAGAACATAGTGTTCTCTTGAGAACAAATCCCAGTATCCACTGTGGGGGGCCAGTGAAAGTGACCAAGAAAGAGAATCGCTTTGGCAGTATTTTCTCTGAGAGTAAGACACAATCAAGAATCGGGAAAGCTGTGGTCTTTGCCCTTTTGTAATAATGCTGTAATGTTACTTATTTTAATTAACCAAGAAAGCCTAAGTTAAGTTTTTATATCAATCTAAAGATAGTTTGTCCAGTAATTTTCATCCTGGAAGTTAAGCAACATTACAATAGCCTCAGAAAATGTCTGCCTGACTGTGAAAAGTGTTTCGGCTTTAAGAACATATTAGAATTTGAAATACTCAATCTGTGTATGAATTAGAAATAACCGCACAGTTATTTTTTGCAGTTATCTTTATTACAATCTTCTTCGCCTATAGGTCAGAAAATCTCCAACTTTAGAGCCAGATTGTCAATAACAAAATGAGTCTGGCACAAAAAATAAATATTTTACTTCTCTAAGGATTATTATCATTTGAGGCAAGTTTGTCACTTTTTGAGTTGCATGTGACTCTGCAGTTCAATTTCTCAAAAGCAGTAAAATTTATCTATATTTCTCACTGACAAATGATATTTATGATTAAACAGATTTAACATTTAATATTTAGATATACCATCTTTGACTATGTTTTACTCTTAAGAAAACAATACCAAGTATGTTCTGTCTTATTGGCCCACAACTTATAGAATGATTACAAACACATAGCAAAGCTCCTTAAAAATACTTCACAGAGAAACAGGAGGTAATGGAAGACTACAAATTTTGCAAACAGTCACCAATGTGCTGAGACTTCAATCATACTGAAATCCTCTCAAACTTTGTGGATCAAGAAAGCTTGAAAAATCTGAAATTATTTCAGAAGAAAGACTAGAAAAAAATATAATAAATCTGAAAATAAATTCCCTTAGTAAAATCAATCCTCTTAATGTCAGAGATACTAAAAGTTGTAGTTTATAGCAAAACGGATTTAACATAAATTATTGAATTTTGTAGAACATTCTGTACTCCTAGTTAACTATAAATCATGCTATTAGCGTTTACATTCCGATAAATATATGTGATATATGTTTTATTATTTATTGCATAGCAGTAAGAACAATAAAACGTTTTGCACAGTTTTATACATCAATGATCCAAAAATAGAAATTCAATAATCCAGAAAGTATAAACAATAGCACAATGCAGTTTTCATATACATGTACAGAAACAGAGATTTTTTTTTAATAATGAGGAATTTAATTGACAGAAAAAGTAAAATTTTCACCAACAGAAGGCACTGTAGTCATCTTTTCGAAATGACACTCCATATGGATCTGTGTGATGATCACTACAGATCATCGTCAAGGAGTATCGTTTCAAATCTATGTACATGACCTGAGACCAACCGATTTTGAGGAAAATCCTGAGTATGAAAATGAGATGATGCAACAGATGGAAAACAATGTGAATGTTAAATGTCCTACATAGAGAAAACGTAAAGTTTTTTGCTTAATGGAAGTGTAAAGGCACACAACTGCTGCAAAGAGTGATTGAGGATAAACAACTAGACAATGAGTTTATCCTCAATCACTCTTTCCTGCACTAATGTCCACCAAGATTTCTAAACCTTACACCTTGTTACTTTTGGTTATGGAACTACTTGAAGTCACAGTAGTCAGCTGATGTTATAAATCATGCTGAAAGAAGTTATTCTCTATCATATTATAAAAATTAAAAATCACAGCTGGAATCCTCTTCAATTCTGTGCAGTATCATATCATATCTTATGGGCATTTTCCTGAATGACAGCTATCACAATGAACATTTTAATTTGAGGTACATTGTACTCTGTGCTGCACAACTGTACAAACTGCTTACACAACTGAAGCATCACCTACCTATATGTGAAAAGTAGGTACTCTGATCATAAAAACTTTCCTTGATAAAAATTCCCATCTTTTTGCTGTATGAAAACAGTATCATGCTTCTTTTGAAATATCTTTTTTTTTTTTTTTTCTTTTGTGTTATTCTTGAATCATCTGGTATATAACCAATACACTGCTGAATATTTATTCACACTGATACAGATAAACCTTTGATCATATGTACTAAATCTAAATATTCATTTTCGCATGCTAATTTTTTCCCCCAAAACAATCGTATACATATTTAAATTCAACTTTAAACGTTATAAAATACAAAATTTTAAAGTAACGATAATATAAGGTAAATTATATACAAAATGCACAACTCCACTTCTTAAGACTTTTTTAAGCAGCTTTTAGCCCAGTGAGATGGTGAAAAACAATTTAACTCATACAGAAATAGATCATTCTTCAACTATTTCTTTAAAAACCATACGAAATAACATTATACATATGAATATTATTGACAGACTGCTAAATTGATTACTGCTGCATTAATTTTAAAAAAATCCATTTTTTTTGCCTAGTTTTCAAAATAGCAAATATCTCATTCTTTTACTTTCTAAAAAAACATCTGTTACTGAATTATAAATTCCACAAGCCAACTGTACCTGAATAAGAGCACATATCTTGACATATTATTGAGTTATCTGCACTGCAGTTAGATGCTGCTACATCACTAACCATTTTCATTTAATTATTAAAAACTCCTAATTTAAATAGCATTATTAAAAAGAATTCTTAAATTTAATTTTATTATGGAATTTTTGCAATGCAAAAAATTATTACTATAAAATATGCACTTACCACCATCTGCTTGAACACACTCTGTCCGCCTTAAAAATCCAAGGTAGCCCGTTCGTGCGTAAGTCTGGGATGAATCACCTGTTATTAACCTTACATTAAAATGGTCATTATGAAGAGAATCATCACCATAAATGGTAAAATAACCACTAGCATTATGTGCTGATTGTACCCAAATCTGGAAAAAAAGAAGGAAAAAAAACCACACAGAATGAAAAATACAGCCTTTCTAATCTGTAACCAAAAATTAAAAAAAGAATTCTTTACATCCATTTATATCACTATAAGGATCCACTAATATGGTTCAATTTCCGACCTATTAACCACGCAATCTTCTTAATTTATGTATTTAAAATTTCAACACACACTTTTGTTGTAAAATTAAAAGAAAGATTTTGATCTTAATCCATTATCCTTACTGAGCACTGTTAATTTAAAAAACGAGATAAGTCAAATAACATGAAGTAAAGGGTTCACATACATGACATACAGTTCCAGTAAAATGGAACGTTATCTAGTACTGACAGAAAAAAGAAACAGGTGGGACAGGTAAATATTCTCAGATTATGAAAAAAGGGACAAGAAGCAGTCTTAGCTAAAACTGCAGTGATACAGGACACAATAACATATGCTTTGAACTGTATCATACACAAAAACATTTCAAGGGTATAATGACAAAATCAAACTTCATAAAAATTTCTTGGCAATGGAAGGTATTTTGTTAATTCAAGTATAGTTATTTCATATTATCTTACAAAATCTAAATTTTACTTTACTGAAAAAAAGAAAATGCTTCAAAATAAATTAACTTTTCATTAGATAGAAATTGGAGTGCATAAAATTTATATTTGTTTAAATAACGTAACCCTAAAATCAAATTACAAGAGAAATATGCCAATGCAAAATTTAATATTACATTAAAAGCAATCTTAATTTGGCATTGATTTTGAATGCCTTTTTTTTTTTTTTTAATTTTTGCTCCAACACATGTCCCTCTTCCGGAATTTTTTAAAATATTTTTCCCTCCCCCACCAAAAAGGAGTCAGATCGTCCTCAAAATGAATAGTTTTATTTAAAATCTATGCCTATCTTTCCTTTTTAGCCTCACCCCTAAATCATCAAAATTAAAACATTTCAGAACCTTTAATTATCATGTTTTCTGTAAATTAGCAACAATATTCTTTTGTCACTCAAGGTAAAACCCTCCACTGCAACCTCATTCACCAATGACGCATTAGAAAAACTTAGCTAGCATTAAAGAACTACTCTGTTTTCTGCTTGAAACAGAAAAAATAATAAATTCATGCATCATTCTCTCTACATTTCTTATTACCATGACACAACAAACTGATTGGCTGGATGACAAGTTTTTGCTCCAATTTTAACACAAACCTGCACATTTTTCAGCTCTGAAACATTTAACATTCAGAGTATTAATTAAAACAGATGCATAACACACTCCTAAATATATATGTACACAGTACAAAGTCCAATCTCTGGAATTCAAAGCCACCACTTTTCTTTTGTATGTTTTGTGCCTGCACATTTGATGATCCCCCAAGCATAATAAAACATGTGGAGAATCCCGACTCTTATTTTCACTTTGGCACTAAATAAAATGCCTTGTTATTACAGAAACAATCATTTTAGCATAAATTTGTACAATCAATAATTTGGCTCCATAGCTACGTATCGGCTTGGCATACACCTAACACTGAAACATTCTACATAGATACATCACTAATTTTACACCTACTAATATTTTTATCCAAAGCCAACCTCGCAAATCATTATTTATTACACAATATAAAGTCCAAGATCCGGACTTGCCAGAATTTGGAGATTCTGGATTTGTGATTTTTCCAGATATTAGATCATCAGTTTAAATCTAGTAAGACAGCATGTAGAAATTATAAAATTAAAAATATGAAATTGTGATTTAGGAAAATAATGAAGCATTTATGATCTAAATGATATCAAAATTTACAAAAAATGATTATATTAATATATATTTACTCGTTTACTTTATTAAACATTTCTTTGAATGTAAATTGTTCAAGTTGCTTCATTTTCTGTGCTAATACTTCATCTTCAATTCTACAGACAGACATAATTTCTTGTTCAGTTATAAAGTTACACTGTTCAAGTCTTGTAGTTGCTGTGTCGAGAATTCCGACTAACTTATCAATCAAAATTTGTTTGTTTTCAGTAACCTCTCTGTCTCTTCACTATTGGTAGTGGTAATTTTCTCAATATGGACCCATACTACATATTTTGCCGTCCATTAATTGATAGGTGATTGTCACCACAATGAAAACCTTCTGTTATATCATCTTTATTTATTACCACTTCTCCACATTTCTTTACAAAGTCCATTAACTGGAAAATTTCACTTGTTTGCGATATCTGAAAGCCTTCAAATTCGTGGCTATCATATTCACCATCCTCACCATAAAATATAGTAGCTGGCCATAAATTATGTCAAGCATTTTTTAAAGTATCTGAAGACATCCTCCCATGATCTTGTGATTCTCAACAAAGCATATTTTATGCTAAAATATTTCAAAAATTCTTGAATAGTTTTGCTATTATTCAAGAAATTTAACATGGATTTAAAAAATTATACTTTATTTCTGCATTTCAGCATGTGCACTATTTTGATATGCATAGGCTGAATGATCGATGTACAGTTTCGAGGAAAGAATAACATGGATACATTATCTTTCATTAAATTTTTAAGTGAAATATGAGCCAAACAGTTAGCTAGAATCAGGAAACTTTTTGTGTCATCAGGCAAACCAACCGAATTCGAATTTTGCCCAGCCTTGGTTATGAAATGATTTTCAAACCAATCATACATTAATGCTTCTGTCATTTGTGCTTTTATTTGCATGATATATAACGGGACAATCTTTACTCCTTTAAATGCTCGAGGTCATGTATTTTTTCTGATTATGAAACAATTACACTTGTGCATTCCTTCAGCATTTGCACATACATGTTAAAATTTCTAGTCTCACTTTGGAATCTTTGACACCAGTTGGAGCCTTTTCTGTAGAGGTTGCCAAGGTATTTCATGGTACATATTGCCAAAAAAAGACCAGTTTCATCAGCATTGTAAATTTGTCCTGGAGATAACGTTTCACTATTAATGACTTTAATGAGTTCATCTGCAAATAGTTCAGCAGCTTCAGTATTAGCTGAAGCTTATTCATCTAAAATTTTTACTTGCACTAATACCACAGTGATTTTAAAATTTGGTTTATCAATTTGTTGGATATGTGCACTCAATTTTTAAGTTCATTTCTTCATGAAATATTTTGGCTTGAGCCATTAGCATAGGACTGCTGTAATAATAGGCCAAAAGATTACATTTAGTGTAATCTTTCGGCTTCTCTTAAATTCAAAGAAATTTGTCCTCCCGAAATTCTGCCACCCGGTGCGGCATACGAGCTCTGGCGCCGATTCTGGGTTTATGTGAATAAAACAATCAGTTATTCTTAATTCAAATAGCACTAAATGTAATCTTTTGGCCTATGACTATCATTAGCAAAATCTATTTTTTAGCATATGAAAATTGATTTTTGTTAAATTTTTCCTCATCAACATTTACCACATTTAACTTAAAACTGTAACCATCGCAAAGCATAATGTCAGCATAAAAGGTTTCCAAACTCTTCGTTATTCAGTTACTAATATAGAAAGATTTTTTAGGCATCGCTGCATGCGTCATTACTTAAGTTGTCATGTGTTGATAAACATACGGTGAAGAAAGCAAAATACAGTAAATAATGATTCGCCAGGTTGGCATCAAGGATATAAAATATAAAAAGTTGTAAAATCAGTGATATTTCTAGGTAGAATATATCAGTTTGAGAAGTATGCCAAGCAGATACACAGCTATGGATACAGAGCTAAGTTAATGATCACACAAATTTCTGCTAAAATAATTGTGTCGTCAATAACGAGGTATTTTATTTAGTGCTGAAGTGAAATTAAGAATCAGGATTCTTAACATTTTCTTATGAAAGGAAAAATCAAATGCACATGTGTAAAGCATTAAAAAAATCACCCCCCCCCCAATTTTTTTTGGTGGCTTTAAGGTCTATATTTTAGATTATTTCAGATATTGGATGTCCGAATCTCGGACTTTGTACTGTATTTTGCTTTCATCACTGCATGTTTATCAACACATGACAACATGACAACTCATGTAGCGATGCCTAAGCAATTTTTTTATGTTAATAATTGAATAACAAAGACTATAAAAGGGAGGCACTTGGTAGCAAAATTAAAAACTCGCAGAGACTGTATCAGGCGGTAAGATATCTGCCGCCGGCTCTCAATAAGCCTTAAGTATATGTGGGAATTTATTTATTCAAGGTTCAGATAAGCCTTAAGCATGTGCAAGAAATACTCATAACTACAATAAATAACTAAACTAATAACATCTGTCTCAGTGCATGATAGAAGCAAGATAAAATTTAGCAGCATGACTTAGCTTTAGTCACTTATCTCATGGTACATAGCCAAAATGTACCAGTGAAGCAGCTAAATTTATGATGAGCTAAATTTTATGAAATTAAGATTTCTGATCATCAATCATATCAATACAATAAATAACTAAATAACATCTGTCTCAGTGCATGATAGAAGCAAGATAAAATTTAGCAGCATGACTTAGCTTTAGTCACTTATCTCATGGTACATAGCCAAAAATGTACAGTGAACGACAGCTAAATTTTATGATGATAGCTGTGAATTTTAAAGGTTTTCGGATATTGCAAACCAAAGAAGAAATTTTCCCCAAAACAGATTTCATAAAGAAATGTGGAGAGTGGTAATAAATGAAGTTTTTTATTGTGATCACAATGCTCCTCAATCATCAATCAACAGATGGTGAAATCTGTAGTATGGTTCTAGATCCAGAAAATACTACTACTGATAGTGATGAAAATGGCAGGTTAGTGAAAAAGAAAAAATTTTGATTGACAAGTTAGTTGGAATTCTCGACACAGCAATTACAGGACTCAAACAATATAACTAAACAAGAAATTATGTCTGTCTACAGAATTAAAGAGAAAGCATTAGCACAAAACAAAGCAACTTAAACTACTTACACTAAAAGAAATGCTTAATAAAGTAAACAAATAAATATTAAGTTTTTTTTTTGTAAATTTTGATACCCTTTAGATCATTAATGCTTCATATTTCATAAGTCACGATTTAAAATTTTGTAATTTCTACATGCCATCTTACTAGATTTAAACTGATGATCTAAGATCCGGAAAAATACCAAATCCGGAATAGCAGAAGTTCCTACAAAGTGTGGATCTCGGACTTTGTACTATATATATAGAGAGAGAATGAATAACAACCAAATGATTATTCTGATTTGTGATATGATAGGAGTAACTGTTTGGTAACATGAACAACCAATGTCTTGCAACAAATGGAATGCCCCCCAAAATCAAGTCTTTCACTACATATATTTCTAATGTCAAAAAGTTGATTTTTCATAATGAATATAATTTAGAGTTCATTGGGCATCAGATACTTAATATTCTAAAGTACAAAACTGTTCAATATATTCTGCAACAGTTTATATTCCCTTCTTTTAATATAGCTTACAAACTTCGCTAGAATAAATGGTTGGTTAACGAGGCAAAGTACATGAGGGAATGAATGGAACTATATAAAGGTCTGATGCTTTCTTGGTTTATTTCTAATATAATTATTAATTGTTAAAATGATGTATATTTTCAATACAATTTCAAACTATGATACTATTTTCATCCTAGGCCTTCTCTCCTTTTACAGCAACTATATATAAAAATGTGTAGCCATGATAAATCATGATTACATGCTTAAGTTTATGAGGCTAAGAGACTTGGAGACCCACCTGCACACACACACAAAAAAAAAAAAAAAAAAAAAAAAAAAAAAGCACAGCACATAATGAGCATGGAGGGACTTCCTTTCAAACTTTCCCACAGAAAATAAAATGTTATTTACAGGTTAAACTAAATAATTACGGTAGTCTTCTGGGTTTCTGCTTTAGAAAGGAAGCCTTTAGGGAAAAATTGTATTCACATTACGCAGGAGAAACCATGAAAAACCTGTTCAATCAATCAGTTGGATATGCGGCCTTGACCCAAATTTGGGTTAAATGATCAGCATTCAGTCATTTTAAACACCTGGCCAACAAAGGGTTCATATACTTAAATTTTTGATAAGTTCATTTTACTATTAAAATTTATAAGAATTCTGTATGCAAGTGATATGAAATTAAAGTAATACAAAAATAAAACAGGAAATGAATTAAATTGAGAGAGATATTACTTCTCCAAGATGTGAATCACCACACTGCCCTTTTGTTTCTGGATTTGCAATGACTACTTTCACTCCAGGCAATAGTTTCCCGGATTCCATCAAACATAAGCTATGTGGAGCTCCCCTCTCAACCAAAGTCACTCGATCATTGCGCAAAGCTCTCATGTCAGCATAAACTGCAGTGGGATCAGGACTAGATGCACCCTGCAATGAATTTCAAGCATTAAAGTATGTAAAATTAACATTTCTGGAAACAATATGAAGTAAAAGTACAAACTTGCCCAAATGAGATTAAAAAATTAATTCTCAAAATAAAATTTATAATTGCAAAATGAAATTTTTTATCCAGTAGCTTTATACTTCTTCAAAAGTGGCACAGTTATAAACAAAATATAACGCTTTAGACAAACACTATATAGCCAGTCACCTGAACCCTTTCAGGACGGGCATCCCATATACACATTCCCTAAGAACGTCTCTTACAGCCGGGTGTCCCATCCACACATCGCTAGAGATTGCATTCAGAGGATGGGTGATGCGTATCTGAAGGCCACTAGATGGCATCCTATGCCCATTACTTTTGAAATGAACACAGTTTTAGTTCATGACCTTGAGTTTGATATATTCTGCCTGACTTTAGTATTTTACTCATCAGCTCTTGTGAGGGGGGGGGGAAGGGAAAGCGTAAACAGAAGTGAGCTCTTTAAATTGCTGCGTGCTAATGAAAACATTGGCGTGTCTGATTTATATCCAATTCCTTTTTTTTTATTCTATTTTTTCCTTTACTGTGTAGGGTCTTTTAGGGTTAATATGTCAGGTACTGTTACGTTTGGCATTGCCTTCAGTTATATTTCCGTTTCTTCTCTTTTTATTTCGGAAAGCCTCACGTCTAGTCTATTACGCCGGGAAGGCGCTATTTTATCAGAGGAAGAATACCCTTGTATGGTCAATGAACCATTTAATTAACGCAGATAAGAGTGATGATTCATTTTTTAAACAGTTAGAAAGTGACACTTTTTCTAAGAGTTAGAAAGTGATACTTCTCCATACTTCGAGATTTACCACAGTCTTCATTTTAAATTTTGTTACTTCTTACTGTAAATTGTCTTTATTGTGTTGTTTTATTAAGTTTATTAATTTTAAACTTTATAGATGGATTTTATCAATTAAAACTTTGGAATAATTTGAATAGTGCTTCTGAAAATTATTTTACAAGCATTTTTTTAGTATATTTTCATGTAAAATAAAGAAAAAAATGTTATTAAGTGCTAATTTTAACATATATAAGAGCTCGAGTAATAATCTAAAATGATACCAAAAATCACGATGCTAGTAGCGAAATTTTTTTTTTCCTGATTTTTTTTTATAAAATTAGGCTTAGCGATGCAAAACCTCCGTTCTGTACAGTGACTGCCTTCGATTCCCTTCCATCCCACACGAGCATCTTAAACAAAGGTGCGCCGTCACGAAAAGGTTAAGGCACCATACATATGCACATATATATACATATATGTACATGGTAATTAATATACATGCCACTACATTAACAATCTTAAGTTAGAATAACAGGGCTTTTCATGGTATAACATTTTCATTACAGCCCCTTAAATAATGATAAAATTGTGCTCATTCCCAAACACATAAGGTAAATGTAATACACCACATGTTTAGACTTTATCATTAATGAAACAATGCAACCAATTTGTATCAAAAGTTTACAGCAAATAGCTCGTTTTTTGTAATTTAAGCACAAAAATGTAATTCAAATGATCCAATACGCATAATTTGGCTAAAACTACTAACAAAAAATACAGAATTTGATCTAAATTTGAAAATATTTACGAGCTTAAATCTACGTGTTTAGTAATATTACGCATGGAATTATAATTACACTCTACCTCGATAAATTTCACCTAAACTGTGTATCCTAAAAAAATTCTGATATGCTATTTCAAAATATTCAAAAAATTTTTAATGCCTTTTCCACTTAAAAAAAAATGGTACTATTCTGTTTTAGGGACCATAAAAAATTGCAGCAAAATTATATGCGCAACAGCGCCAAATCTAGCATATGTGCCGAAGTGCATAAATTTATAGTTCTATATTTACAAGTCGCCATTGAAATACTAGCTTAATTTTTTTAATTCTTTTCTAATAACACTACGGATTTAACAATTTGTGAATTGCCCAATTTGAAAAAGTATGTAATAGAATTTTTTCAAACAGGCATCATTCATGATAGAAAATTATGTTCGAATATCCACGAGATGAAATTATGCTTTAGTGGTAACTCAGTAGCGAAATGGTGGCGCAGGAAAGAAACCTGTAATGAGAAGAAAGGATTAAGAAGTCAAAATTGGTTCGAAGGATTGAAAATCCCCTTTGTTACAATGGTTAGATTCATCTATTTTTGGTGTCGGGAGATGACATCTATTGAATTTTGTGTATTGAAGTAGACGAAAGCCTTTTCAGTAGAAGAAAGAATAACGATGGACAGGTTCTTCCGCCATAATGTGTTTTCGGCAGATTATGCTGAGAATCGAATGAAGGTTTCTTCTCAATTGCTGTTCCAGAACAATCGGCGAAGACTTTATTGAATGTCATAAAAAAATATCGCAGAAGGAAGCATTATTTATACTGACTGCTGGAAATCGTACAAGTCGGATAAACTGCAAAATACCAGTTTTGAACATTTTACTGCCAATCACTACTACAATTTTGTGGACCCCGAAAGTGAGTGCCATAGACAAACAGTAGAGCGGCCTGACTGGGAGGACATGGTTTTAAAATCATTCATCAAATTAATCAAAAATATAGATAGAAACAGCTCAAGTGGAATTAACTGAATAGATTTTTAGGTGCTTTTCACTATCATCAAAAGATGCTGGAAAGAAAGAAAAGGAAAAAAAAAAAAAAAAACACCTTACTGTTTAAAATTTTCTTTACTGGTATGACTAAAAACTTTTCCAATAGAAACCTAAAGATCATATCTGTTACATACAGCAGTAACCACATGCAAAGTCAGTTAAGAGCATTGCATTGCAAAGACCTACTACTTGATACCGTTATATGCATTCAGATTTGGCTACATGTACTCTAAAGGAAACAATGCTATGTACAACTGAACGTAGTACAGTCAAAAGTCTTTAATTCGGACTCGTTGGGACTTCGGCGTTTCTGGATTATTGGGTTTTTCCGGATTATAGATCATCAGTTTAAATCTGGTAAGATGGCATGCAGAAATTATAAAATTAAAAATATGAAACCGTAATGAAATAAAGAGCAATTATGATCTAAAGGGTATCAAAAATTACAAAAAAAGAAAGCTTAATATTTATTTGTTTACTTTTCTTTCAATGCACGCATGCATAAAGCATACATTACGCATAGTCGAAATTAGAAAATTGCAACCAGAAAACTATTTGATGTGTATTCGTGATATTTATAATGATGAGGAATTTGATTTAAATCATATCAAAGACAGAGTACATCGAGATGAAATACTACATTTAGTAAGGAATTATAAGCCGAATAAAATAAAAACATTTGCCCTGAAGATAAGGACAGTGCTGACAGACCAACTTCCAGTTCATTGCCCGCCATGAGTTTCCTCCCCCCCAACAACTCGCTGAACAACTTGTCGTGAGTCGCCTAGCTCATGATACATGGCCAAATAGGTATAGTGACGGATAGCTAAAATTGATGATGATAGCTGCTAATTTTAAAGGTTTTCAGGTATCGCAAAACAAAGGTGAAACTTTCCAATTAACGGATTTTGTAAAGAAAAATGGAGAAGCTGTAATAAATGAAGATGATATAAAAGAAGTTTTTCATTGTGATGACAATGCTTCTCAATCATCAATAAATTAATGAATGGCAAAAATCTTTACAGGACTTCAACAATGCAACTAAACAAGAATTTATGTCTGTCTACAGAATTATACAGAAAGTAGCACAAAAACAGAAGCAACTTAGAACTTACATTGAAAGAAATGTTTAATAAGGTAAGCAAATATATATATTAAGCTATTTGTTGCAAATTTTGATACCTTTTAGATCATAAATACTTCATTATTTCATAAATCACGATTTCATATTTTTAATTTTATAATTTCTACATGCTATCTTACTAGATTTAAACTGATGATCTAATATCTGGAATCACCAAAGTCCCGACGAGTCCGGACTTCGGACTTTGTACGGTATAACATTTCAACCTGGTGTTTATAAAAAGCTCACCATATAAAAAGTCACTTTAAAATTAAATTCTTTAAAGGGTTAAAAAGTTAATACACTCACTTGAAGACAAATTGCAACATTTACACGACAGCCAAAACTTGTGCTCACAGCTCTGGGAGACAATCCTAAACCAGAAAACAATTTAGAAAATGAAGTTGTGAGCCCAACTCTTGGTCTCTCTTCAGCAACAACAACACATGTTCTGACACAGCTCAGATTGATCCCTCTCTGCTGTAAAAATATGACATGAATTAAGAAAAACTGCAAAATCCATAATTTTCATTGGTTTTAGCATGTAATTAACATGAAAAATTCATTCAATGGAAAAACACTATATAGCAAAACTGCATATGTTAATTTATTTCAGATATGAAGCTATTTTATATTAATATGAAAAATATTGTTACGAAATGCCTGGCTGCTTTATAATAGCTTCCCTACAAAGCAAGTTCAGGGTTGCCAAAGAATGGCAAGGCAGGATTACTAGACTGGGCATGAAATCGCCCATTTGGTGACAAAACTGGCAATATGCCATAGACTAAGCAAGAACATTCTGGAACAATTTCTTACTGGTTTGCCCCAGAATGTTCTTGAAGGCAGGTCGAAAGCTATATAAACCCTGCCTGTATGCAGAGTAGCAATGCATCGTGACGTTATCATGAACAGTATCTTGAGTGTATCGAATTTGGTAGTAGTGCTGTGAGATTAGCTTGACAGCGATCAACTGAGTTGGGAGCTGTACTATGGTGCTTTGCCTTGAAACTGTTTTCACCATTATATCCTGATGGCTGTGTTGCTGATTGTTTCAGTGTTTATCTTAGTTTTTTTTAAGACTGTAACACATCTTTGGAACTATCCTGTGAAATACGGATGAATTAAACTGTGTTTTCATTCTTCATTAAGTGTTCTCATCAGTCACTCCAAATCTACGAACCCATAGAATGCAACAATATAAAATTACTTTATAATCATGAATATATACATAAAAGTTTAATATCAAAGAATCCTATAATTGAAAATTGAGTAATGCTGCTACAAGAAGAATAATGTAGCTACGCAAATACTAATCAAGATGATTAAATTCTGTATTTAATAAATAAAGGGCACACTAAACTGTAATATTAAATAATTAGAAGAACAGAAAATTTTTTTTCAACTCATGTTAATGTATTTCTGAATATTCCTTACAATCTGACCCCCCCCAAAAAAAAACATTTTTTCAACTACTCTGTAAAATAGATCAAAACTTCAGTTATAGACAAGAAATCCAGCATATCCAAGCTAATTCATTTAATCCTACAATGCAAATTATATGCTTATATATGGTAAATTTTCAGAGTTACATAATTACATTTCAACTACCATATTATTTATAAGCAAATAATGGTTAGAAGCGAATTATTTCTTAACCCTTTAACTGCCGTGGGCGTATATATAAGTTTTGCTCAACCGGTGCGCTTTGCTTTGCACTGTTACCGATAAAATTATTCACAAAGCTTTTGAATGCAATGCAAAGGAGGATACTATTTTAGAGAAGAGGGGGGGGGCAGGAATTGGAAGAGGGAAATGTTTCTGAAACGGTGAAAGTAATGACTGAGCGGTTATGCTTGTGTTTATGTCTCAGTAAAACATATTTTTTTATTTCGTATCTTCTGTTTTCATTTACTATTAGTAGTAGGTGCTTTTTTTATGAATATGTCTGGCAGTGAAATAGATAATAACTTTCCATCATCTTCAAGATCAGACACCTCAGAATATGATATTACATCAGATGAAGAGGATTGCAACTATTCCCTGAAAAAGGTTCGATGTTGGGTATGATTTGATACGAAAAACTTGCTTATGATATCCAACCAATTCAGAAGAAATAAATGTTTTTTTTATGTTTACCAATTTTACAAGGTATAACACTGAAACTCGATATTACAATTTACTGCTCTAAAAATAAATTGATCGAAACTCAATTTTTTGGAATCATTTTTATTATTCAAACATCATTTTTATTATACTTACATCTTCTTTTTTATTATGCTTTTACTTTAAACATTAAATTTTGTATTTTCATTTTTTCTTTTATTCTTTATTTTGTGTAAGTAAAGTTTTTAGACAGCAAAACTTGCACTTATTTTCTCCCAACACGTCGCATAACTACGCACGCCTGAGTAAAAATGGTGGCACTGGGGAGTGAATCTTGTCCGTTTTCGCGGCAGTTAAGAGGCTAATATTTTCTTTCTAGATAGTTTAATAATTCTGAATGTAGAGATTAAATTTTTGTATTTTCAATTAAATAAGAAAGAGAACCAAGTAACAATGTTGCAAAATAATAACCAGACTTTCTTCTAATCTATTCTTCAAAATCCCTGGCATTTTGATACAATATACGCATTATAAAATGTCACATATCTGTATCATTAAAATTACTTTTTGAAATAACTCAAAATGTGCATTCTAATGAATTTCTCACAGGAAGACTTAAATTTAAAACATAAATAATTCTTCAACAAGTTCATATTTAAGGGCTAATCACCTTCAACAACTTTTAAGAAAAGTAAGTTTGGGAATTCTTTTTCAATATGTAATTATTAAAAAAGTAAGAAATTTTGATACAGTGTATGTATTATAAAACGTCACATATCTGTATTATTAAAATTACTTTTTAAAATACATCTCAAGATGTGCATTGTGAAGAATTTTTCACTTTTTCACAGGATGACTTAAATTTAAAACATACATAATTCTTCAACTAGCTCATATTTAAGGGCTAATCACTTTTAACAACTTTAAAAAAAAAGGTAAGTTTTGGAATTCTTTTCCAAACGTAATTATTAAAAAAAGTCAGAAATTTTTGGCTGAATACTGGTTTACTTTCAAAAATGAACTTCAACCCAACATTCAAAATCAAGGTGGTCTAAGAAAAACTTCAGAATGAACTCATCTGCATTGGGAACTGGACTCTATGATTATGGCAAAGCCTGCATCCCAGGGCTAACCTGACTTAAGAAAGGGATTTTTAAGAGAAACTGCTTTATATTCCCATTATACATAGGAAAAACCTCCATACAGTCAGACCATATGCCAAGATAAGAGGCCAAATCAAACTGTTAGCTTTCAAATCTCTTATTCACATAACCAATGGACAGTACATTTGCATAAGGAATATCAATAATCAATTACTAAAGCCATATGCTCCTGATCTTAATGCACCACCTCCAAATTAAACTGCTACATGCAATCTTACGTAACATGCACTGTGGATACCTTTTAATATCATCACATATCAAAATTTCAACAAAGAACTCACTGAATACATATTGCTACTGCTAAATGGTCACATACCTTCCTACATTTGTCTTGCTCTGCCAGTATGTGTCACATGGCTTACTGTCTTTTTTATTATCTAAAAATGTGATCAAGTTATATAAAACTGTGGGATGCATATCACACCCACAAAGATGTGTAACCTAGGTTATATATTGTAGGAATTAAGTGACTAGCAATAAATTGTGTTTTATTTATAGCTACATTTGTCTGTGAATATTATCATATGTATATAAGAAGCTATCTTCTATAATTATCAAGATATTTACAAGATTAAATAAATATTTATAAATAAAACTGACCTAGCATCCAAAGTGTATGCAATCTTTTTAATTTTGAGATGGTGCACTTAAGATTAGGGGCAATCTAAATTTTTACAAAATGAATAGCCAGAAGCATGCCCAGTTTTAGCTTCTCAAGAGTTATAATGTAAATGTATACTTGTTTCAGACCAATGTAACACAACAGAGGGAAAGTGGAAATAGTCTTTACTGAGCCTTATGTAGTATGTTCATAAGTTACAGTAGATTCCCAAGTCATTTTATATTTCTTAGCTCACACTCTACTTTGATGACCATAAAAATATTGATAGTAATGTTATCATGTATGTCGTGAGTGAATTACAGAAGGGAAGCAAGACTTTGGCTCCCAAAAACTGATTTTTCAATCTTGATTTTATAGTTAACTTTTCTAATTCCAAAAATATATAACATGTTTCGGTTTGAAGTACTAGATATCTTGTAAATTAAGATAAAAGACACAAATTAAAGATATGACACATCCCCTTTTTAAAGAGACAATTTTTAATAAGTGCCTTTTATTTAGCCTTTAAACTGAGACTTATCAATATTATTTTGAGTTCTTTATCTATGCATAAGCATTTATATTCAGAATTACGCCTGTTAGGAATAAAAATATTTTCCCGAGATCTGAATTCGAATCAACTTCAGCATATCTATGGATGGATCGAAGCTTTTAAAAATATATTTGTTGGTGTCAAACCACTGAAAACTGAAAAGGAGGGCATAGGAGGTATTTTGAAGACCTCATATTTGGAAATGAAAGGCTGAAAATTTCTTAGATTAATGCAGATGTAAAAATTTTTAAAGTTGAAACAATGATTTATGCTTCCCAACCGGATAATGGTTAGTGATGCCGATTGGCATATCAAAGGGCCCAAGTTCCAATCCTAGAGAAGGCATGGCTGTTTGTAAATGTATAGTGCCATGGGAACACTCTAAATATGAGGCGATCTGAAAGTCCTCTTTAGAGATTGGGTTGTAGGGGAAGAGGCGTGGGAGACCTTCAGACCCATTCCCCTGGGTGCTCTCAAACAATATTAGGCATGGAACTGAGCAAAGTCATACTGTCACTGGCATGGTGCTCAAGGCTGTTGCCAACGGACAAGCACAATCTTGCTGTCCTTTCCACAATTTAGAGGGCATGTTCTGATGTTACTGTCAGACAAGTGAGATAAGTCACAATGCAACAAGTTATAAAATCACTCACAAAATCAGAATCTTTAAAAGACAAAATAAGAGGAAACATGAAGCTTCACGGCCATCATCGCATCTTCATTATGATGCAAAATGTTAAAAAAATTAGAAGCAAATGTATTGATAGAACAACCTTTCCCCTCCTTTTTTTTCCCTCAAAATTTAGGTACATTTTTCTAAAATTTTAACTGCAAAGAAAGCTTCAGATTTTTATTTCATAATATGTAATGCTATTGCATGCCCTAAATGTACTGAATGAACCTTATACTCATTTTCAATTCCAGAGACCTTGACTTTGCTTAAAAATATGCTAAGTTCAAAATTTTTAACTCTACATCTTAGAATAAAAATAGAACCTTATTTCTAAACATATCTGAAAATATCAATGCAACTTCAAAGTGATATTATGCAAAAGAAAATGTTTAAGAATTCTCCAAGTGCAATGATGTATCTGAAACCTGTCATTTCAAAAGAGATTTTTACAAAAAATATAATATTGAGGATAGAAATAAAAAAAGTAATGTGTAGTTTCTATAAATAAAATACTTTGAATCTGCAATGAGTTTTTAATATGATAATAGTAAGGCAATTAATAAGGGGACTTTTCATATTTTGTGCTATCAGAAAACTCGTATTCCCCATAAGAGTTAATTGTAACGCATCAGTGACTAAAAGAATGTTTGGATTCACATATTCCTTTATTCCCATATCAACAGTTCTCTATTTTAAATTTGCTACCACTTTGTCTATAAAATTTCCTGTCTATAAAATTCAGTGCAATTTTTTACAAGCTTTCAATTTCGTACATATCACAATAACATCCCAAAATGTAAGATTTATGATGCTCATATACTTATAATGCTTATACTGCCAGTGTGTTACTGGACATAAGTAAACGGATGTTTAAAATAACATATGTTTTCAGTACCGGAAGTGAATTTCATCTTTTAATTATGTTTTACAGATTATGTTAATGTATCAAAATATTTTACATACAAGAGAGGATTTTTTAGTGTACTGCAATGTGTGCAATATGCTTTATTGTTATTTTATTTAAAATGCTAGTAATATTTTACTGTGAACAAATTATCCCATGAACAAATTATCCCATTATTAAAATTAATCCCATGATAAGTCTCGGAACATATTACTCCCACATAGAAGAGTCATGGGTATTAAAAATACTTTTTATGTTTTTATTAATGCAATGAATATTACATTTTTATTACTGCAATGAAAACTTTTGCATAAGATTATAAAAATATTAAAATAGTCCTATTTTTAACATCAAACAAATAATTACCATAAAACAGAATAACGAATTATACCTTTAACTGTGTTATTGATGATCCTAGCCCCTTAGTACAAAGTTCCATGACTCCATAAGAGCAAAATGTATCACGAACTGCAAAAACATAAAGTAAAATTAAAATAATTTTTAAAAAACCTGCACATATCAAAAGCTTATAATACTAAAATTATCAGAAAGGTTTTATTTTCCAATAGTGCTGAAAACAATGAATTTCTCCAACAACACACAAGCAGATGATAATACTAAAAGTATCTAAAGAAGACAAATGCACTTTATTTTATTTTATAAAAGTTAGGGTTTCCTTAAATGTGTTTTATGAATTCCTGAATCCAATGAAATACTATGTAGAATTCTTTGATAATTTTTAGCACAGTTTACTTTGACAGATTCCACATCTCACACTCTACAAAACACAAAAAGGAAGGCTCCAAACTTCAATTCCAATAAATACAGGCATAACTTTTCAAAAGCTTCACTTTTTAATTCGTGTTAATGCAGACATCAGAACACCTAAATGTAAAGCACTGATGATGATTCAAATGATTCTTGTCTTTTTTTTAATAGCACTGAAATTATTAAAAAAACTATCCGCATTACATTTAATGACTATAAAAATATACTGAATAAAATCCTTAAAAATGCTATGCTTCATCCACATGTGCATTTCTGCACTTCACAGCTGTAAGAAATGCATCATGCAGGTATACAAATAAGAGGAAATTCTGGAAATGAATTCCAGAAAAAATTATGTCATTCTGGAATATTTTATGTCAAAATACACACAATTACAGGCATTGAAATAGACATTTCACATGGAATAACAACTTAAGTAATTTTAAAATTACCAATTATTTCTACAGTATACATACATTTAAAACTTCTTGAACAAATTATTATCTTCATTTATTATTTTAGTATTACTTTTACGAAACAGGAAATGCTAAAAATAATTTCTATGTGTTACTGATACACACAATGAATTAACTACCTACCCCCCAAAAAAATAATAGTTTACTGGATGTTCCTTCATTTTTACTTATTGTACTTAATACTTACACACATGCATGCATTTTGGCTCATCAAATGTTACATTGCAAGGTAATTTTTAAATTATAGAATGAAGAATTAAATGATGTTAGTGCCCCCCCACAAAAACATGAAAATTCACGATGAAAATTGGCATATGTTAATTTCCAATTTTGTTTTAAACTCATACCATTAAATACTGCAATGTAACTACACAATTCTCCTCCAACTTTCACTCATTTTTTACTCAACTTCATCTAGCACATTAGCACTTTTAACTATATACAGATGATTTGATTAACTAGCTTCCAAACAAAGTGCTCTTAGACAATAAAAACAAGGACACTCAACTCAAAAGGTATGGAAAATTAGTTGTCTTTATAAACATATGAAGGTGACTGATCATGTTCTCTCCCCCACAGTTTACTCCGTATTCAGGAAAACAGATATGTAGAATGTTCACGATGAGCATGCCACCTCTATCAAAATATCTCACGCCAGCAAACTATCTCACGGCTGTGTCATACATGAATTGCTGTTTAAATTTACTTTATGGGTGAACCACATACACCAGGTGTACCATATACGACTTTTCAAACAGAATATTTAATTACCTTTTTTTTCCACACTAGATGAAGCAGTATGTCCATTATAGTGAAATTAATCAAAAATGAGGTAGTTGACCTTCATTCCCTTGCAATCTTTTTTTTATTTTTAGTATTTTGTTTCAGAGTGAGATTCATCATTGTTGAGCAATGTAATGGCTCTTTAACTGCATCAGTTGATATGAACAAATGCACATGCTCTTGATGCTTTGAATTTTTTTTTTTTTTATATATATATAATGGGGTAGATGTACCATTTTATTTATTCCTTTTAGATAATTTTTTCTAGTGTTAAGAAGGGTATTTTGTACCATTTGGTGAAATATGTTTACACCTAAATGACAAAATGAAAATAGTATTTAACCAAAGAGTATATCCGAATGACAGTCTTTTTCCGAGAGTGATGATATTTGTGCAGAACTGGAAAATGATAATTACAGCGATCCTAATATGAACATATCTCAGTCTGTTTATATATTTATTTAAGACAAAAATAACACACCTCAGCTTTTTATGAAAAAGATTTTTAATAATTTTTATTTTTACTAATGTGTTTATATTATGCTAAAACTAATTATTTTATAAAATTTTGAAGGAAACATAATAAAGTTTTAAAATTAATTTTGTTAATTATCTGAAAGCTCCTCTCATAACTTACTGAAAACTCAAACAATTAGATCACAAATGTAATTCATGCAAATTTTTTTCCAAAATTAGTCTTAGCAGCATGAATACTTGCTCCTCCCGAGATGGTGCATCCTGTTAGCACACTGTCCTGAGGGAGTGGTTAGGTGACTGAGGTACATCTCGTGAATGGTTAAACATAACCTATAGTTAGTATATATGAGGTCATGCTTACAAAAGAGATTTTTGATCCTTCACGGTGAAACATCTCTATACAATCCTATCTCAATATACAGGGATATTTTAAGCATTAGAAATGTCACTGATTACGATCTATGTTGTCCAAAGCTACTACTATTATACCAAAAAACAGTTATATATCTCTACTAGGGAGAGGAAATATTCATGCATCTATAAGGCACTTATTGGACCTTGCAACAATCATTTATAAGAACACACTGGAATACACCCACTGAGGACTTCACTGGTACCTTCAATGCAGCCTAAATTAATAGCCATGTGAATTTTTTCACTCATTATATTCAGTTCAAACATTGTTTCTCAAATAATTTTATTTTAGGAAAACCTGCAGCACAGCATTTTACATATGATGTCCATGAGAAATTGAGATTTTAACATAAAAATATGCAATGTTTTTTCCATATATCATATATAATGTTGAGTTTCTTAAATTTTTATACACCAATGTAACAACAAGACAAATTTTACTACACTGCTTTTTAATTTCTGAAGCACGACACTGAAACTGCAGGAAACTTACCAGCAAAAAAAAAAAAAAAAAAAAAAAAAAAATTACCTTTATATTGACTAATTGTAGACAACCACAGAGCAGGATTTATTTCAACTTCTGATGGTGGAATTAGTATTGTATGATGTCCTGAATACACACTGAAAGAATAAACTGGTTATTTAAGAAATCCAAGTGCATTTCTTTAAACATTACATATTTAAATAAACTAAATGGAAATTGCATATAATAGTAGCACAAGTTGAAAATGCACTTCTTTAATGCTGAAGTTTGTCCAAAGATTATATATTCAAGATAATATCAATGAGGTCCAGGGTACATGAGCCTAGACACACCACTTTTTCCCTAACTGCACAATTACAAGTGACAACTAACATGATATGACAGTTCAAATCTCTCAAAAATAAGCAAGAAAATCGAACCTAAACTTTTAAGTAACATTCATATTATTTATGTTTCTATCCTTGTCAGTTTGTATTCCAATACAGATGACTTCCTTTCACCAGTACTATCAATTCTATTCTCCATTCAACTAATTTTAGATAATTTTTCACACTTCTTTTTTTAACAGTTTAACATTTCATGACTATATGGTTGGATAATTTTTGAAGTTTTTTGAATTAATGTACTGTAGAAATTTTAAAATTCATTATTCAACAATTTTTGCATGCAGCTGTACTCTTAAAATACATCATAAAACAAAATAGAAGCAAATGTAATTGTGCTTGCTACTACTTACCCGCTTCATATTGACTACCATTCCAGTTTCATACACGTCATTTTTACCATCACTCTGTTAGAAGTTTGCACAAATATTTTTGCTTTTTCTTCAATTGTTTTTCACAGTATGTAAATAATATCAAGGTTTTTTATGATTTACATAAAAGAGATTTTGTTATTCTTTTGGTGTTAAAATGTATTTAGCAATACATAATACAGAACAGTGAAAAATAGGTGTGCATCAAATGCTCTGAACGAGCATGGGAGAAAATTTTATGAATATTAATAAAGCCTGTTTCACTTGAAATTTAAATATACAAAAGTTTAAATTGTGACAAGCCATAATTTTAGGAACCTGAAGCAGAAATATTTCATATTTTGAATATTTTAAGCTATAATTTGGGAATAAATTCATAATAAACTTAATACGGAATAATAATAATACAGAATTTTTGTAGTATGTCATTTTTTATTACTTCTTAAGAATGCTTTTCATAAATAAACTTTCCTTCAACACTAAAAAAGTAAAATAATTTATATTACTAATAAAAGTAAAACTACCGGTGTGCGATTCAAATGGACATTGAGTAATTTAAAGTAATTTATTTTTTTTTATTTTTACCACGAAGCTGTTAGAAGACTTGGAGAGAAAAGGAAATTGAATAATATAAAAATTCCTGAAATTTTAGCCTTGATTTTTTCCTGTTTATTTTTGAGAGGAATGTTTTGGCACTTCACTTACATATTCACTTTAAGGCTTTCTATCACTAAGTGATAGAGGGGGGGGGGCAATTACACTCAAAGTCATACTGATAACCAGCATCTCTATGGAAACACCAAGAAGTCTAACTCTGATTTATAAATGTACACTGATTACATTATTAAGAATATACACAATGAATGACAGTACTCATAAAAGAGGCACTTCGGAGGAATGTGATGTAAAACCGTACAGTATTAAGGCAAATGAAAATTACACTTAATATTATAAGAAACAAAATTTAATTGTATGCATTAAAATAGCATTATACATGAACCAGAAATACTAAACTAAAAATACTTTAAATGCATAGTTAAAATTAGTTTGATACAAATCTTAGATTCTCAGAAGTATTTAAAAGAATATTAGGAACAATATTTTATATACCTATTCAAACACCAGAGAGCAAAACCTAATCCACAATAAGGATCAAGGCAAAGTGCAATATGACGAGAGGGATACAACTCACAAGCTAGTTTCATACTCCTACAAAGGGATGTTGAGGCAGCATGAGACATCTAGAAAAGGGAAACAAAAGGGAACAATAAAAATTTGCACATTTAAACAAATAACTCTGAAAATAATCTTAGAACAAAATTTTTGATTTACCTTTATTCCAGCAAGCATTCCCGTTGTGCTTACACTAAAATCTAAATATGCAATCATTTCCGGAGTTGGCGCTCTGTAAATGCTTGTTAACTTTTTCTTTGGAATGTCATCAGTGTCCAAGATAAGTGGCCATGATTTTGCATCGACGACATTTCCAGCTTCCTGATTACGAACAGAAATGTATTAAAACACAAAAATGTGCACTTTTCCCCCCAAGTTACTTAAATACAAATTAAGTTAACAGAAATAGATAAATGCATTAGTGAACAGATATAAAATTAAATAAATTTTATGTAATAACACTTATTTAAATATAACCTAAATGTATGTAGATCACACTAGAGCTCCAATATTACAGATCATCTCCTGTCTTTCTATGCCAGACAATATGAATTTTGTTTTTAACTAGTATGATTCTTTAATGTCTTTTATTTATTTAAGTAACATGAAAAGATGATACAGTTAAATGTGTTTGACATGCAAAACTGGATTGCTATGTTTATCAAATACATAATCTAAAAATCTGAATATAAATGTAGTTATATACTACATGACGATTTAAGAAATAAAGAAGACAATTTAATCAAGAAAATAATTTAGAAGCAATTACTGATGAGAATATGCGAGAAACATTATTCTAGAATTGGTGGTGATGCAATATTTAGATATCATCTGAAATCCAGTTGATATTTCCTGTTCAAAGAAAATTTAACTGTTGACACTCATTTAGGAATAACCAAAAATTTACTTCAACAGAAGACAACTTGCATGGAAATTATATCTTCCCCCAAAAGAAATGTAACTTAGGAAATATGAAGAGAATGTGAACTGAACTTGATCTCAAGATCAAACTGATGAAGAATATTTTTAATCAGCATTCTCAATAAATGACAAAAACTTGAATCCAAAAGAATAAGCAATAATACTTGTGTATGAAAAAAACTTCCGAAGTCAACATGGGCAATCCACATTGTTAAATATTTCAGCACAATATGGGATAGTATACATCTGCTTGGTTCATCTCCCCAAACGTAACTTGTATGAGGTACCTTCAACAATTATTACAAGACCAATTCTAAGTAGCTCTCTATGGAAGATGCTTATTCCTTTAGCTATGGACCCAGTTTCTTCTCATTCAAGCACTAAACATATCAACAAAACATATTAGTACTAATTCAGAAGTCAAACAACAAAAATCAGCATTATATTTTCAAATTTTTACGGGGCTAGTTTCGATGGTTTTACCGAAACACCATCCTCAACAGCAAAAGTGCAAATGAACAAAATAGGATATAATGATCAGATAAGATAAGAAAGCCTGGACAGAAAATAAGCTAGTGGTGCCATCTGTTGATGAAACCAGAACTAAAACATAATTTCTTTAAAGGCAAAGATGGATTGGAATTAGTATCGTTAACTAGAACAGAAAGATTTTTTTCAATGTGAAATGCCTCTAGAAAATCCAGTTCTCCAATGGAAGATGTTTTTTGAATAATTTGTCTGGTGTGTTATTGTGTCTTAAAACATATTAGTATTCATTAACATCTGTTCTCAATAAAAAAGCCACTGTAAAATGTACACAGTGAACCTGCTTAGGATGACTGCTTCTCATAAGACTTGTGAAAGGTTATCAGCATTTTTTAAGATTGTAAAGAAAGACTGATATTAAACATGAGATACTTTCATAACGATGTCCTGTCATACAGCTATCTTCACCTTTATGCACACTGGCCACATTTGAAAAGAAGGAAATCTTCATAAGGTTGCTCTGGTATCATGATACCTACACACCAAGATCAATTTCTAAACTTCTTTCATAAGGTGCAAGAATCTTTATGGCAGGACACTGCAATGCAAGCCTGATTTGCATTACCAATTGATTTATTAAGCAGGGAATGAAATAAATTCATGGCACCATCATGCAAGATCACTTTACTTGCACAAAGTTTCGGGTAGATAAGAAAAGGGGTGAATAAGTGGAAAATCTTGAACTGGTATAGCTATCTACAACAATATAAAAAATGCTGAAATGGCATTAATAAAGTGCTTGCACCTTTACAAAAGGGTCATTCTGATATTTTTTAGATACACAAGTTATACTTACAACATTTTAAAAGTGCTGAAAGTAGTCTCCTCCCCCATCAATGCACTTCTGTAGGGAAATTTTCCAAAGATTAAATATGCCTCAAGCCATTCAATTATTGGAATCAATGAAAAAAATTCATTTACAGCCTCATCAATCTCATCTTTAGAATGAAAATGATGCCCACATAAGTTCTTTTTAATTAAAAAATAGCCAAAAGTCACACATAGCTAAGACTGAGTGAATAGGGTGGATGTTTTATTACTTTGATGTGTTTTTGTTCAAGAAACTCAACTGCCAGTCTTGCTGAATGAGAAAATGCATTGTCATGGTGAACATGAGTCCTCTAAAATTCACTTCTTAAAGGATTTCTGGAAGACACTTAGTGGTCTACCAGTCAGCAGTGACTGTCTTTCTCTCCAGCTTGATGGCTTTGACCAGTCCTGTACTTCTGAACAAACGGAATATATTAGCACTTTATCTTTTTATCATTGTGGGTGTGGGATCATCTTCAAAGGCCCATGCTTTTACTTTCTTGACATGTTGGAACATCATAAAATGCTATGGACATTTCATCACCAGCTATGATTTCAGATATAATGCAGGGGGGGCACCATTGTTAAGTAATTGAAGGGTATCTTTACTGACCCTGACACGCTGCTCTTTTTGGTTCTCAGATAAATTTTGGAGAACACAATGCAAAACTAGTTTTTTTCAAATGCAATTCTTCATAATTTATTTTAGGTATGGTGGCGAACCCAATGTTAAATTCCTCCTGAATCATTTGGTAGGTGCAGCAATTATCATCAATTAACATTTTCCGTATGGCAGACACATTATCTGTTATTAGTGCTGAGAACTTTCCTGTTTGTTCTTCATCCTGAAGAGAGTTACGACTTCTGTGAAATTCTGTAAACCATCTGAATGCAGTAGCACGAGATGGACCTTCATTTCCAAAAGCTAATTGTAGATACTGAATGTATTCTTGCTTTTATCCCGTTTCACAGAAAATCATAGTACAATAATGTTCTTGCATCGACTCCATTTTTCCTTCTGCCTAAAATTTATTCTACGCTCAATTACTTGGAACTGTCCAATGAAAAATTGTCTGCAAGGCTTGAAAAATTCATATTTTCAAATCTAACTGTTCATTTTCTTTTTGCCACTTATCGTCTGTGGGTATCTCAAAAATTTTAGAGTGACCCCCATAAAAAATAATGGATTTTAAAGTGCTGACATTTTTACATTGGTGGTTGAATCCCAGAATAAAATTTTAAGGGACTTCAATAACTACCTTACTGCTTAATTAAAACACTTAGTTAACTACTGTTTAATTTGGTGAAAATAAAATAATATGCTAATGTACTTTAATTGCTAATGTACTTAAAATTTTATTTTCATCAAAATGGCAGACTGTTTTACACATAAGGGGTGAAAAGTTATTTAAATAATATTGTTTCCCTTCATTAACCTTTGTTCAGATTTAGAATGCAAGTAGATCAAATATAAAAACTTCTATATAACAAATCATTTTAATCTATCAACTATCTAATGGTCTAAACATCCTTTTTCATTTTTTTCCTGGCTGCCAGTATAATTACCAATTTCAAACATAAAAATATTAAACAAGTATGCCTATATTTGCCTAATAATATCTGAGAACTCAAGATATTAACATAAAACTCTCTGCAAATAAGTACAACAGCTTCGCAATTTTATAAAAATTAATAAGTTACATTTTATATTTAAAGCTATTATATAAAAACACAAATACACCCATTATGAATACACAAGGAAATCTTTCATTGTATATTCTTAGCCCGAATCATTATCATGCTTAATAATGTCGAATCATTATCATGCTTAATAATGTAATTTTTGAATTTTTTCAGTATTGTCAATGCTTTTTTTAAAATCAAAATTAAGTGCTCACAACCACTTCAATGGCATTTTCATATTGTTCTTTTCTCCCTCCCATCAATATAATAAATTCCAGGTTAGATATGCAAAATAAAAGGCACATACATTAGTTTGCTAAGAAAAGATGCCAATTTGGTATAATGGTCGCGACAACACCTCTTACAGTGATGATGAGGATTTGAAGCTTGTGTAATGCATAGATATTCCTGTTGGTCCCACCTTTACAATATAGTGTTTCAAATCCATTCTGTATCCTGGGCAACATTCCCAGAGTAATCAATAAGCTCTGCCATATGGCAAAACCCTAAGACACAAGAGCCTAAAGATTTGATGAATGGAAGAATATTAATAAAATAAAATACTATAGAAAATACAAAAATAAGTATTTTTTCATCAAAGTTATGATATTTGATGTAAAGTGAAGACAAATTAATGAACATAAATGGAAAATAAAATAATAGATAAGAAATAAATAGAATTAAAAACATGTTCAATAACTAAAACTGCTTTATAAAATACATATAGTGTTGCATAATTGTCACATGTCATTCAATTTTAAATTCAATTTTTGTTAGGAAGGTTATCATGCTCATGTAACATGCCAGTATGGTAATTCAAGGAGTACCAGGCTTCAAAGGAATATCTTCATGTCAGACTTTCTAAAACAATCTTGGATTCATACACATAGTAATTAAAATACTGACATTTTTTAAACCCTAATAATGTGAAAAATCACAAATGAATACCTGTTCAAAACTGAGAAATTCGTATGTTGTAAAGTTTCAGAATAAAATCTCCAGCAGTAATTTAGAAAGTTCTATTATAAACATGACAATTAACATAACAGGCAATTCATACCTTGGACTTTAACAGTTTCGAAATGGCAGCAGTTGATAAAATAAGAACTGATTTGCTAACATCCACTATCATTCTTACTGTTGGCAAAGTAGTTTGTAAGTTCTGAGGATGAGGTGGCCTGATAGTAACTGGAACTACACCTAAGTCGAAAACAGGAACAGTATGACTATAAAGAATAACAAAATAGAAATAAAAATTGAGACATTAAAAAAATGTGTGGAGAACATACCTACATATAAGCAACCATAAAATGCACAAATTAGATCCAAGCCAGGTGGATAAATTAGTGCCACATGGTCACCTGTATTCAGTTTACCCTTTTCTAGTAACATACATGCAACTCTTTCAGCTCTTTTGTGAAGCTGAGAGCAAGTCAGCGTTCCAGTAATTCCACCCTGAAAACAATTATATGATCTTTCTATAAACTACATAAAATTAGCTTTTCAGCACGCTAAAGTAAAACCTAACTTTGAACTATTAATGCTATGATAATTAAATTCAACGTAATACCCAGACAACTGTTAACAGTTTGCCTTTATTGAGAGAAACTACTTTGAGTCAAAATATTTCATGACTTTTTAAATAACAATTACAAAGTTTTCAAATAAAATAATGGACGTTTATGGAAGAAAATACCTTACCTTAGCATTAAAAAGTGTAAAAATTACATGATCAGCAGTAGTTGTTACTCTCCACTTCAGTATCTCTGATATAAACTGGTATTTCCTAGCAGTATCACTGTCATCATCAATTATACCAATATCACGACCTTGAGCTGAGGCAAGACGCACACCTTGTACCATATTACCAACCATGACTGAAGCAGGGCCAACTTCTAGCCATAATAATAATGTAGTTAAAAAGGGCCACTTACCAAATAAGTAAAAATAAATATCTGAGAAGTTAACATAAATGAAAGTTGAGAAACTGATTGCACCTTCTCAAGTTAAATATTTTTTTCGTTAAAAATCTCTTACAACACATTTGGAAGGGGAAGTTATGCTCTTCAGTATAACTCTGCATTAACTTTCCATGTTTTTAAATACAAAAAAATTGGATATATTTAACAAGAATTATCACTTTTTTTTTTTAAATCAAAAACTTCACAATATAGTAAATCAATGTAACTTTTAAAGTTTTATATTATGAAATTGATTAAATCATGTTTTTATCATTTTAAGAATATTTGCTGCATTACTATAAGTTGAAAAAAGGAACAGTTAAGAAACAATAAAACCAAAAATTTCTAAGTGTGTTCAAGAATGTCACAAATTTAAACTTAGCAGTAGTTCGTTTTGATTAGAACAGAACAAATCAACCAAAAATTGAAGTAAACGATCCTGTATTCTTTACCTGGATGAACTTCTCTTGGTTTAGGTAAATTTGTCACACAAGTATGAGGACACATAAGAACATTAGCAGGGTGTAAACTTCCCTCTAAAAATCGTCTTTTAGTTTCTGAGAGATGAATGCCACCTAATGGTGTCTAATATAAAATAAAGAAGTATGAATATTAAAGCGGGAAAAACAAATTTTAAACAAAAATTTAAATGAAAACATTATTTATAAATATACTTTTGGTAAGCAGTTTGGAGAAACCAAAGCTAAGCAATATATTCCAACTTGATGGATACTATCAACAGCCTGTAAAACTCTACTCATCCATTGAAAGCTCTGAAAAAACATGAAAGCAGTTGCTTAAAATGTAACCTATACAGCCTAAGATTTAATTCATGCTCTGACAATTTAGCAATAAAATATAATAGCTAAGAGGGGGAAAAAGGTACCTCTTCTTCAGCGCAATCTGGTCTTTGCTCAGCAATGACACATATTCTTTCATCTCGCAACACTTTCACAGAAAACACTGCAATCCTACAAAAATTCATATTTCTATCAATTACACCTGCATATACACAAAAAAATGATAAAGTTTAAATTAATATCAAAATTAATTTTTATCATTAGGCAATTTATTTTCAGTTACCTTCCTCGATAAATGAACTTCATTGGTTCCACTGCCAATACAGTTGCAATGATATCATCTGTATTATGTTTTCTGCCACTAACTTGCATAAGACCATCTCGTGTCCCACAGACGAACACTAAACCTCCCTATAACAAGAAAGGAAAATGGATAATAACACTGTACTACTCCACATGAATGACCAAAGATTAAAATATAGTCATTGAGAGCAAATAAGAAATAATAATGGGGTGATTAGAAACTTTTATCATCCTGAAATTGCTCCTCACACTTCTCCATAAAATGTATTAGAAGAGATAAAATGGCTATTTCATGTATAGAAATTACAAAGTCCAAAATGTTGACCCCCCCCCCAAAAAAACTTTTGTACAATGTTTAGGAATGGAGAATATAATACTGAACAAAAAGAAGAATGTGTGCCATCTTTCATCTCACCAAGATTCCTGCATGTTACTGTCAAACACTTGCTAGGAAAACTGCACCACAGCCACAACCATACATTCAGCCCTTGAGTGATTGATTGTGAAGGGTCAGCATTTTTCCTTCCGACATACACAAGTGAAGCTCGAATGTTACCATTTCTATTAAGTCACCTTGCTAGATTTAAACCGATGATTTAAAATCTGGAAATTTCCAAAATCAGAATCACCAAAGTCCTAATGATTCTACATTTCACACTTTGTATTGTATCAGAATATAATCAAATGTGACAACAAGACATTCATAAAAAATACTCGGTTTAAATCAAAATTCAAATTTTGGCCGATCAAAAAGGAATTTACATGAAAATTTCTAAGTAATCTCCTGCTTCAGTGATTAGCAAAGTGAATATTCTGCAGAATATTATTATTCAATCAAAATACAAAGTGATCCATAAATCAGTAATTGTTTACAAATATGTATTTAGCCATTATTAAAGCTCAATTAGTTTATTTATAGCTGGTAGCTAAGTTTATTTCAACCACAACAAATTTAGCCCAGGAATATATAAAATCATGTTTTCTTTCATGCAATACTAGTAAGCAAAATTTCTGTTTACCAGATGGTACTTCATCAGTAAATGAACACAATAAATGTTGAATGAATGCTAGATGTGGCAAGTTATCATTACTACTGAGCACTATCTGAAGATATATTAAGATGACTACATAACAGGAATACCATTTCTGTAAGAAACATTGATACACATCAGCCTGAATGTCTTTTTACATTTTCAGTGATACTAAATTTTTGCATACCTGTAACTTAAGTTAGTCCAACTAATACCAAAAATGGACAGATTTGAGATCTGCCGGCCTGAATTCAGACTAAAGTGATGGCTTAACACTCTGTTTTCAATAATAATTTAGAACAACAGAGAAGCAATGTGGGATGATTTATCTTGTATAAATGTCACAAAATCCATATGCTTTCCCCCCATTTATGAATAATACTGTTTTGTAACAGTATAGTGCTGACTTCTGACAGTGATACTTAAAAAACACAGCCATATAATCAGGATTTGAAGGTACAGTGGCATCTGATGGATAATACTGCAATTAAAAAATTTAGATTTTTACCTTAAAAAAGCAAGTAATTTCATAAGTTTTGGTATTAAATACAATGTATGCTGTAAATTCAAGGAAATACAATCTTTTTAAATGTTTAATAACTTTTGGATCACACTCGCCCTCTTTTTTTTTTTTTTTTTTTTTTTTTTTTTTTTTTCCCCATTTTATATAACTGCAAAGGTTGGAACTTAATTTCAATACACAAAAATACTTTAAGAAATGGCTAAAAATTATAATTAAGAATTTTTTTTCTCTAAAAATAAATAACATCACATTTATATTTAAATGTAAAGAAGTTTGTAAAACACAAAAAGGAAATTTTGATATGCATCAATCCATCTACTGAAATGAAAATCTCTTCACATTAAAAAACACACTTAAAATGTCTTAAGTATATTTATTATAAATGATTTGATGAGCTAATTCAGCAGAATGAAATTTGAAAGATATGGTGAGGAAATAAAATTTTAGGGCTCCCTTCATCTTATAATTCTTCCAAATTCTTCATTTACTACCAATAGCTATTATTTTGCATAAGAATCACTCGTGCAAAAACTTGCTTTTCATTTTATTTTCACGCTGTCACAAAAATAGTTCTAAATTTAAAGCACATTTTACCAGCACATCTGTTAACTTTAAGAAGAATATACCTTTTTATGTGTGTTCTCAAAACTTAGTTGCTATTAGAATCAATCATTGCAAAACAATTTCATCCCAATATACTAGTCACTTACAAGAATAAATAGTAAATTACCATAGGCTTCTTCTCAGGTGTTAAATCATTAGCCCCCTATTTAATTAACTACTGCTATTTTCTTGATACAAACAACTTACCGGTTCTTCACTCACGTTAAACACAAACACTAGTTGCTGGGTTTACAGCATATTTCAAGCTGAAAGCAAGCCTCAAACGTAACTTTTATTTTTATACAAAGTGGCATTTGTTTTTCAGTTTAACACTCATGAGGGCCAGGCACTACATGGCCTTCATAAAACAATGTTTCCTGGAAAATTTACTGTTCCCTTCCCCAAGAAAAGGTGTTGCCCAGCATGAACAGCCCCCTCCAATCTCTAGCTACACTATTTTCGCTGGCTGAAGTCTCATGGCTTTTCACAATGCCTCTTTACTGGTGATTTTGCTTTCCTGTATTATGTTCATTTGACAAGAGGAACCAATATAACTGCCCCAAGATTTCTATAAAATACAGTAGGGTTCCATGTACCAACCTTCAGATCATGTGCCTCACTGTATATACATTTTGTACATTATGACAGTAGTGATATGAATATTCAACTTCAATATTCTAGTACATGAACAAATCAAGGCCCAATATACCATACATTTAAGCAAATAGAATTCATACCACTATTCAAATAGGAATTTTGTTTGCATTATTAATCAGAGTAGAAACTAAAACTTGCATAGTAGTGCCCCAACATCAACGTGACAGCATTCTCACAAAAATGTATTTTTCCAAAACATCTTCATAATGGTGCGGACACATTTATGTCAGGACACCCTTGCAAAAGAACTTCTAATCAGTTGCTGATTTTCATTAAGTCACAAGCATCTTTACAATGGAGTACTGTTATGAAGTTGTCACTCAGAAGCAGGGATTTTTTTAACTGGTTACCATGCAAATAAATGGAAATGTTAGAGGATTTAATATCATGCAGCCAACAAAATGGTCACAAAAATATCTTTTGTTTACTATATGCTACAACTTTTCAAAATGCTAAAACTTCTACAAGAAAATGTTTGTTAAGAATGAGGATATTTAACCCTCCGAGCGTTATAGGTTTAGACCTGAAATTTCAAAGTTCCTCAAAATGTCATGAATAAGTGGTATTTTCTTGATTTTAATTAAAAAATGACTCTCTGATTTTGTACCTTGATTCCTTTTCTTCCAATATACATCCAAACCGAAATCAGATACATTAAAAACTAACAGAAATTTTCATGTATAATGAATATAGAAGGTAGCCTTCTATGTGGAATTTTCCGGCCGTAACGCTGAGAGGGTTAGTAAATCAATATTATTGTGTGCATACGGGTTCATAATAGATTGAATGTACAAGTCTGATAATAGGTTAATAAAATTTAATCTGATCAAAAGAAATATATCAGAATTCTGGAATTTTCCTCAGAGATTATCATAGAACTGTTCACAATATTACACAATATAACCAGTAGTTATACTTCAAAAAACTAAAAATGTTAAATACAATGCAATACAAAGCACATCTAAACAGAAAGCTAATCTCAATACAACTCGCAATAACAGTAACTAAGGAAGTGAGCTCAGATGCTCTCTCTGGCTTTTTATAGTTTTCAACTGGTCGCAAGAAATTTCTAGTACTTTTTGCTTCTCGAGATTTCCAGAAAGCAATAAGAGGATGGAATTACGGTTACAGCCAACACAGTGGTCAATTACATTCATTCAATTTCAATACAAATTACCAAGATATTCAAGTGCCCCTGTATTTTTACTTTTCCGGCATAGTTTTCACTTAAAATTTGTCACAACAATTTTAATTATAATTCTACTAAAATTACCTATCTAAATACAAAATTTGTAACAATATTATTAGTAGTAACAATAAACGATATGCACTATGATAATTACAGCTTGCTACACTTCATAGAAATATCTGTGACTTGTTTCACCAAAAACAGTGAAATCAAAGGTAGCTTTTTTGTTACCTTTATATATATGATTAACTCGCAGTCTCCTACGACTCAGAAAATCTTTACTCATTCCTCAAATGATGCAAAGTAGCACACATGTACGAAGATAATCAGAACATTAACAACAACAATAGCATTACAGGCTGGCAATAAACACCACATACACTGCAACTAAATAAACTGAAATTATTTCCGTTATTTCCAATAAAATAAATCAAGACTTAAAAATGATAATTTCATCTGTTTATTATATGTGCAAGTCTCACAGATAAAAAAACACTGCATTTTAAATTGCTGTAAAAGGGGGGGGAGAAAGAAGAAAGATACATACAGGACCAATGAAACCAAGTAACCCAGTTCGCACCCAATTTTGATCATTCACAGGCTGTCCATCGGCACATAATGGTTGCATCTACATAAAAATACACAACAATTAAATTTCAAATATTAAGAAAAGAAATTTAATATGAACACTAAAACAACTATATATTCCTATTAAATTTAAAAGAACAAAAATTACTTAAGCAATACCTTAAAAATAGTGTTAGTGAGTCCTTGTAAACCCCAATAAGATGACGCTGTTCCATATGAACTAACACAAATTTCTCCAACTTCATCAGTCTTGCAGAGAAACGGAGGTCCATTAACAGCAACAATTGCAGCAAATGCTAAAAAAGGAAAATGCATACTTGAAACTATAACATAAGTAATCTATGAAGCAAAAAGGTAACATTTAAAATGTAGAGAAGCAGATAAATAAAGTAAATGAAATGCTATCATAAATCTTTACCTCCAGGCATTATTTGACCACAATCTTGTAGCGTTAATGATGTTAAACTATTTTCTTGATCCACTCTTATAACACCATAGCTCAAGGCAGACATAGATAGAACACCTCTGCCACAAGAAACAGGGCCCAATATTTGACCAGGCCTAAAAGAAAATAAATTGCTTATTACTTCAAACGATTCCACATAGAATGCCCTAATCTCGTCTACAAATGCTGCAGTAAGTGAAATATGCAGATTTATAATTTAAAGAAATAATATGCTCAGTACTTCCTCCCCAAAATGATGAATATATCAAGATATACAATACTGCCTAAGTAAAGAGAAAAAGCAACCAGTTTAAGTTAAATCTGGAAAAAGATAATGCAATTTTAAATGATTAATCTTTAACAATAAGGCCTTGTAATACCTAAATGGTTTATTGAACTCATGTTAGCCAGGAACGGGAAAATACACAGCACATAAAAACTCTTATGGATACAAATGTGATAATCATTCAGTTAATATTATCTGTGCTATACCAAAACCTTGTATATACACCCAAAAATGGGTCATTCCACCATTACACAAAGTGCACGAGATCTTAATCAATCAACTACACACGCATGTCTTAAAACTTTTTCTAGTGGAAACCACTTTTATAAATTAGAATGCTCAGCATACTCTCTTATTCCCTTTGAAAGCAACGTATTTAGATTATGTAACTAACAGTACACTTACATTTCAAAAATGCAATTAATTAAAATTCATTTAATTTTATGTTAGTATTAATCAATTAACTGAAGAAAAGTTATATTTGTTTTTGATTATGCAAGAATATCTCTAGTTTCGATAATCTTATTAACTAAAAATTAAATAAATGTTGGGACTCGCATTGATGACACGGATCGTCTGCCAATTCTTGCACAGCTGTTACATGTTTGGATGCATGCTGGTAGATTCAAGTCAGAGATTGGATCATACACAAAGTCAATTTTGAGCCTTTGATTTTGAGTTAAGGGGAAAAAAAAAAAAACCTTTCTTACACAGATGCATAGAAGCAAACTGATAAATAAGAACCATTGCACAGTTCTACTTTCACTGGTAATGAGGACCAGAAATTAACCAAAATATCTGTTTAGAAAAATTTTCATTTTAAGTCTGGTGTCATTAGATAATTTCATTGACATTCAATTCTCTTTCATTCAATGGCAGTTTGCTAGTTTCGAAACTGCAATGGAGAGGATCAAAAACAGATGAAAATTCATTATATTTACCACTTGAAAATAAGTTTCAAACTATGACCAAAGTTTCGAGATGTGAACATATGTCATTCATAATTCTTTTCCAATAATGATATAATTTTCTACCAAAAAAGGACTCTAAAGTTAAGAATGGTGAAAAATTCTGTTTTAAACAACTAACCCATAAACCTAGTTATGGCTCAAACACTTATATTTTCCATGGACATTCAGAAAGTAAAAAACTACCCCGTAGGCAAAGAATTAATTTTGAGAATACATTAAGTTTTCAGAAAGATATGTCACCAGAAAAGGTCATCAGCAAAAGATTATGCAAAACCTTATTGATTTCATTTACAAATAACTAGCCATTTCTGCAAATATAGGAGGACCACAAGGGCAGGTTTTGAGGACCACTTGTCTGCAGACCACAGTTTGAGAAACGCTGAGATTCCCACACTTATGTGTCTTATAATCACACTTCGTACATGAGAATCAAGTTTATGTATTTACAAAATCTCCACACTTATGTGACTTATAATCACACTTCGTACATGAGAATCAAGTTTACGTATTTACAAAATCTCCAAATTATGGATTAGATTTGCAGCAGTTAGAAACCAAGAACTGCTTATTATGCTATTTTTACCAAGAACTGCCTTATTCAATGAACATGACTCCATGATTTCTGTCTTTGCAATTTTTTAAGCAATCTAGGGAGTATCTGCTTCCCCACCCCAAGGATATCATCTCAAAAGCAGCACTTCTGCTTCAGTACCAATAATCACACTGACAAGCTAGTGTATGAATGAAGTGAAACAAAGCATAGGTTTGACAGTTATCTAGTGAACAAAGATTCACATAGTACACTCGAGGCCCTGTTACAAAATTCTTTTAATGCAGTGATAGGAATCAAATGGTCCACATCAGTTCGACAGACACGATTCCTCAAATACTTTCAATTTGGTGAATCAATTATTATGAGTGAATGGTAATACTTATGCTAACCTCAGTGTTTACTCCTGCAGCAAACCAAATTTTGAAATTTTTTCACCCCATGACATTAAAAAAGTTATAGAGTACAAAGTCCAAAATGGATTGTTTGGATATTAGATCATCGGTTTAATGCTTGTAAGATGGCATGAATTATAAAATTAAAAATATTAAATCGTGATTTATGATCTAAAGAGCAACACAATTGACCAAAAAAAAAAAAAAAAAAAAAAAAAAAAGCCTAACATTTGTTTACTTTATTAAACATTTCTTCCAATGCAAGTTGTTTAAGTTGCTTTTTTGTGCTATTTTGTCCTTAATTTTGTAGACAGATATAATTTCTTATTCAGTTACACAGCTCCATTGTAGTCCTGTAAATGCTGTGTTAAGAATTCTGACTAAGTTGTCAATCGAAATTTTTTCGTTTTCAAATAACCTCTCTGTCACTTTCTTCACTATCAGTAGCGGTATTTTCTCGATCTAGAACCATACTACAGATTTCGCATCTGTTGGTTGATAACTGGGGCAATGTCATCACAATGAAAAACTTCTGTTATATCATCTTCATTTATTACCATTTCTCCACACTTCTTTAAAAATTCCATTAATTGGAAAATTTAACCTTTCATTTGCGATATCCAAAATCCTTCAAGTTCACGGCTATCATATTCATCAACCTCACCATGAAATATGCTAGCTGGTCATAAATTATGCAAAGCATTTTTTAGTATCTGGAGACACATCCTCCCATGATCTTGTCATGCTCCACAAACCATATTTTACACTAAAATATTTCAAATATTCTTGAATAGTTTTGCCATTATTCAAGAAATTCAACATGAATTAAAAAAATTCCAGTTTATATTTGCATTTCAGCATGAGCACTGTTCCAATATCCATAGGAGATTGATGTACAATTTGGAGGAAAGAATAAAACAGATACATTATCTTTCGCTAAAACATTGAGTATGAGCCGAACAGTTGTTTACAATCAGGATAATATTTTTGTCATCAGGCAAACCAAACGAATTCAAATTTTGCCCAGCCTTGGGTAAAAAATTATTTTCAAACTAATTACTCATTAATGCTTCTCTTATCTGTGGTTTTATATGCATGATATATAATGGGAAAATCTTTACTCCTTTAAATGCTCGAGGTCGTGTATTTTTTTCCGATTACAAAAAAATTAAGCTTGTGCATTTCTGCCACACATGTGAATGCTAAAATTGCTAGTCTCCCTTTGGAATCTTTGACACGAGCTGGAGCCTTTTCTGTAGAGGTTGCCAAGGTATTTTTCAGTACATATTGCCAGAAAAGACCAGTTTCATTAGTGTTGTAAATTTGTTCTGGAGAAGACCTTTAACTATCAATGAGTTCAATGAATTCATCTGCAAATTGTTCAGCAGCTTCAGTATCAGTTGAGGCTTTTTCACCTGAAATTCTTAATTGCCTTATACAACCCTGTCAAATATGAGCACTAATTTTTTATGTTAATTTCTTAGTGAAATATTTGAGCTTGCAAAATTAGCATTTGACCCATAAATGGCATGCCCTTGCTGCGATACTGTCTGAACCATTCAATTATCACTTTGTCATGATCTTTACTTTTAGCATAACAAGTAAGTTTTCTGCTATTCGTTGTGAGCAAGGTGCTGGAATTCACAAAAATTTCCTTTTTTTGTTATCTTATGTCATTCGCAGTTGACTCTCCAATACCATAATCCTCATATAATTTTGAGACGGATATACCTTCATTCATTTTTTGTAGCAATTAGACATCTTGTATAACCGACATCAAAACATGCTTTCACTTTTTAGATCATGTTACAGCTACAGAATTAGAAACTCTTTTCAACATCATCAAAAGCTGAAACTTTAATTTTCATCAAATTGCTAAAATATAAACAGCCTGCAAAAAAAGAATTAAGCTGGATCAAATCAGAAAAATAAGTAATAGTGCAATCTGCTATATTGGCTGAAATTCCCTGGAATCAGTAAAGTATAATTTTAGCCTAGTTCAAAAGCATACGCTATATATTATTGGCTATGTGTCATGAGATTAGGGACAAAAGACAAGTTGTTCCGTTAAATTTTGTCTTGCTTCTATCGCACATCGAGACAATTAAGCATGATTATATTAGTTTAGTTATTTATTATACTTATGTCTATTTCTTGTACATGCTTAAGATTTACCTGAATTCTGAATAAATAAATTCCCATATATACTTCAGGTTTATTGAAGGATGGTGCTAGATATCTTACCACCCAATGCAGTGTCTGTGGGTCCTCAATTCTGCTAACAAGAGCCTAAGTTCTAAATTTTTGTGGACCCTAAATTTTTGGATCACAGTGCTTTCCCTAAATTCTAAAAATATTTTCATCCTTTAATTTTGTTGCTCGGCACTTCTGTAAATTTCAAAAATCTTGTCTTCAGTAAGTTCTGCCGCCCAGTGTGACCATAAGGGCTCCGGCATCGGTTGTGGGTTTACGTGAAAACAAATCAGTTATTCTTAATTCAAATAACACTAAATGTAATCTTTTGATCTATGAATATGATTAAGAAAATCTATTTTTAGCATATGGAAACTTTCGTTAAAGTTTTCCTCATCAATATTTCTTGGCGCATTTAACTTAAATCTCTAATCACTGCAAAGCCTAAGTATGTCAACATAAGAGGTTACTAAACTCTTTGTACTAATATAAAAAAAAATTGGGGGGGGGCATCGCTGCATGAGTCATTACTCAAGATGTCACGTGTTGATAAACATGTGGTGATGAAAGCAAAATATGATGAATAATGATTTGCCAGGTTGACATCAGGGATATAAAATAATAGGAGTAAAATCAGCAATATTTCTATACAGAATGCTTCGGTTTCTTCAATAACAAGCTTCAGCTGCAGCTGCCAAATTATTGCTCATACAAATTTATGCTAAATTATTATTTCTTCAATAACAAGGTACAGTACAAAGTCCAAAATCTGGACGTCCATTATCCGGAATGATCTAAAATCTGGACCTCAAAGCCACCAACGTTTCTCGTAGGCATAACGCTTGCGCATTTGATCCCCCTCCACGCATAACAAAACACCTGGAGAGGCCCCATTCTTAATTTCACATCAACACTAAATAAAATACCTTGTTATTGAAGAAACAATCATTTTAGCATAAATTTGTACGATCAGTAATTTGGCTCCGTTTGTGCGTATCTGCTTGGCACACATCTCAAACCAAAACATTCCATACAGATACATCGTTGATCTGATACCAACCTGGCAAATCATTATTTATTATACTTTCCTTTCATCACTGCATGCTTATCAAAACATGACAAATTGAGTAATGACTCATGTAGCGATGCTTAAACAATTTTTTTAATTTAGTAATTGAATAATAAAGGAGTATGGTAACCTTTTATGTTGCCATTACACTTGGCAATGATTACAGATTTAAGTTAAATGTGCTAAAAATGCTGACGAGAAAAAATTTACCAAAAATTTCTTTCCATATGCTAAAAATAGATTTTGTTGATGATACTCATAGATCCAAAGATTACATTTAGGGCTATTTGAATTAAGAATAACTGATTTGTTATTTACATTAACTCAGAACCAGGTCAGGACTCGTATGGAATACAATTCAGGCTTAATTGTCTCAGTGCACGATAGAAGCAAGATAAAATTTAACAGAACAACTTGTTGTTAAATGCCAAGCTCATTATGCATAGCCAAATATGTATAGTGAAGGATAGCTAAATTTGATGATGATAGCCGCTAATTTTAAAGGTTTTTGGGTATTGCAAAACAAAGGTGAAATTTTCCAATTAACGGATTTTGTAAAGAAATGTGGAGAAGCAATAATAAATGAAGATATAAGAAGTTTTACAATGCTTCTGAATCATCAATCAATTAATGAATGGCGAAATCTATAGTATGGTTTTAGATCCAGAAAATACTGCTACCGATAGTAAAGAAAGTGACAGAGAAGTTACTGAAAATGAGAAAATTTAGATTGACAAATTAGTCAGAATTCTTGAAACAGCAGTTACAGAACTTCAACAATGTGACTTAACAAGAGATTACGTCTGTCTACAAAATTAAAGAGAAAGTATTGGTACAAAAAATGATAAATAATGATACCCTTTAGATCATAAATACTTCATTATTTCATAAATCACGATTTCATATTTTTAATTTTATAATTTCTACATGCCATCTTATTAGATTTAAACTGATGACCTAATATCTGGAAAAATCCCAAATCCAGAATAGGCAATGTCCCGACGAGACTGGATTTCAGACTTTGTAGCGTATTTATTTAGTGCTGAAGAGATATTAATAATCGGCACTCTCCACATTTTATCTACCGGGGAGGGGGGGAATCAAATGTGCATGCGTAAAGCATTTATAAAGAAAAAATGCTGCTTGCAGTTTTGAAGTACAGATTTTAGATCACTCTGGATATTTGACATCCGGACTTTGGACTTTGTATTGTATTTCTTAAAATACTGATCCTTGACAGGCATTTCCAGTTAATAAATTCTTCGAAATAATCGAAATTCTAAGAAAATAGTTTCAGTATTGGATAACAGAACTATTCTGTAGTTAAAATACACACTATTCCATACTTTTACATACAAAATTCACTAAGACATGCATAATTATTACTTTGATGGGAACTGAAATTTAAAAACAAGCACTGCTGTATTTTATAAGGAACCAACATCTGCCAAACAAGCAATTTTTTCCTACTTCCTCCCTAAATCTGGTTAGCATTGGATTACTTAAGTGTGGAAAAACACATTAGGGTAATCTGCTTTTGGAAAGATATATCTTTCCAAAGATTTTTTCTGAAGAAAACCAACTTGTACCACAATACATTTGCGAAAGGCACAAAACAATATATGCATTCAGTACATTCAACAGTCTATAATAGAACTCGGGGTAAATGATTACATGAGGTTCGCTTAGAACTGAGCAGTAAAAAGTAATTTATATCAGTAAAGTCATTCTCACAATAAAGCAGCTGAAAATGATCCAAATATTAGCATTAACTCTGATTTGGCAGGATGAAGCAAATGGGAAAATGACAGATATTGAAAAGCAATGAACGACTCATTGTCTGTTAAAACTTTTAAGTGATGTGAAAAATCTGAACGCATCTTGTATGGTCAGGTTTTCATGTACCCATAAATAAAATTACACATACTATTTATAGATGCAATAAATTAAATTTAAATTGCTTTGAATAGCCAGGTTACAACTAATAAAAACGTATGAATACTTCACTATACTTCATTCATATATACATGCACATAAAGAAAAACTAACTGGTCTTCATTTTATTACTTAATCTTCAATTTTTGGATTGATTGATTAGGTTTATACATACACTATTGTTATGCAGATAATAGCTGAATAGCTTATTTTAGCACATCGTTTTTAATAAAAAAACAGAAAATATATTTTACCTTCTTACAGATACTGTAAGACCTTCTGGTGAGGCTGCACATGGGCACACAGCATCAGGTCGTAGACCACGACTATGAAATACACTGATAAACTGATCGCAAGATGATAAAGACCCTAGAAGTAATTATTTAATATAAGACTTTCAAAGTTTTTAAAAAATGAATGGAATTAAAATTTTAAAAATGTACTTACAAGGGTTAGATCCATCTGCTATAAGAAGTAGCCTTAATGAGCTAAGATTAACATCTTTGTGGTCTTTGGTTGCTAATAAACCCCAATGCAAATCTCTTGATTTACATATTGCAACGCTTGCTAATAAAGAATACATACACTTTTAAGTTTTTGTTTTAAAAATATTGCACAAAACAGAAATGCATTTAAACTGAAGAAGTTAATTAAAAAAAAAAAAATCTAGCATAGAAAGCACCAAGAACAAAATAAAATGTTTTGAACAAACCTTTGAACTTCGTAATCATTATCAACCAGGATGCAGGATTCACTTTCATCAGAGCATATGGTATAAATATAACATGCATGCCATTCAAAACACTCTGGAGAAGAAAAAAAAACTTTACACACCAGATTGGAAAAAAGCTAATCAAAGGTAATTATACTTTATGCATATTGACAGTGCACAAAACATATTTAGTAAGAGAGAGAGGTTAATGTAGTATTTTGGAATTTCATTCTCATTTAAAGAATTTATTAAAAGGAAAATCTCTTGAAGGTAATTAACTTCAGTACAAGTATTTTTGATTTTAAGAAGTTGATTGTGAATAGTTCTATTTAATACTTTTTTAAATGTTGGAATCCAAGTGAATTCATTTTATTGTGTTAAACTGAAATCTCTTCTTTTGTCATACAGTATAATTTTGTGTTAACAAATATGTAAATCTAAGTAGTTGATTTCGTTTGTGTACAATTAGTTTTATTAAGAACAAAAAAACTAGAAAGGTAAATATTATGTCTTTCTATTTTCTCAAAATGATTTATAGCAAATATATCTAAAAATACTGGTAAAGTAATTTTTATTAACTTGACTAAGAGATTTTTGGAAGTGAAATTCTTTTGTGAGAAGGTTAAGGTTGAAAATATGTGTTGAAAAGTTCGAACCCATAGAAATGCATTTTCTTTGCTGAAAAATTTAATCTCTACACTGCATATAAATAAGAAATAGTCCACAATTAAGGTGAATTTTGAAGTAGTCTTCAGTAATAACTTCAGGGAAAAGTCCAGGAAGCGTTAAAAGACTTGTAGATTTCTATTAATGGAAGAGAGGTATAGAAATTTCCGAAATCATAACAGATCTCTTTTACTCAGTAGTTTTAAGCACAGAAAGAAACATTATTATTAATAATACAATTGCAATGATGCTCTTCATTAACTTATTTTAAAATAATTCTACACACTTTTTTAAGCTTGAGAGCAAAATTGTGGTCTACTGCCTTTTTGTAATTACTAGTACCATTAGCAATGAAACGCAATTTGACAAATGTTTTATGAAATTTAAGTAAGGCATACAGGCTTGAAAATTTAAGTCTTCAGTGAAATGTTTTGAGCTTTCTGACAATTTAGGAAATGCTGGAACTTACCCTACTGTATTTCAATAAGTTAGCCATAATGCTTTTTTCAAAATTGATTCACCGAGATTCAAAACGTTTTGAAAAAATATTAAATAATACAATTTGCAGAAAACAAAAATTTTTTACAATAAAAAATAATTATACTGGAGTTAATTACATTCAAGAAGAAATATTCCTTTTAATCAATTCATTAATACAGAAAAAAATTCCAAAATACTATATTAACCATTTTCTGAAAAAGCAGGCATTAATTTAAATATTAAATTTAATCCCTATTTTAATAACGATGTGATCGAATTATTTGAAACCTTAAAATAGAGCATAAAGTAAAAGGATAGCTAAAATTAGAGACTTGTTTATATGTAAAAATTCTTTTTTATGCAGTTTCTGTATTATAATTCTGGCATTTATTTGTATATTAACTAAGCTGTTTTATTTTCAAAGACATATGGAGCTGAATTGCATGAAACTTGACTTTAATCCACGCTGTCTTAGATTTCCGCAACTCCTGCCAACATGTTAATGTTAATTGTATTTCTCTCTTATGGCCATTTTAAAGGGCTTTCCCAAAATTCATTTTGGCAACCCTAATCTTCACTAGTCTGAAAATACTTGTTTGACAATAATTTACCAGTCTTCTATGTTAACCTTTTGAGCCCGGGGCTTTGGTAACTGCAGTAAAAGCTACCAAAGGACGGGGAATCTTGAACCGAATGCTTCCCCCCCTTTAAGATATCACCTCCTATTTGCAACGAAAATTCTTGTGTGTAGTTTAATGGATTCTCAGAGGGGTGCATCTATGTCGCAAAAGGAAGACCTTTGAAAGAGATAAGTGGTTAAAACCCAAGGGACGTCAACTTTGACATTGCACCCCACTTTTCAGCCTGGAAAATGGAGGAAAAAGACATGGCCACTAAAATGGACAACCCCGTCTTTTCAAAGAGAGGACTCTATAGCCACAATAATGGCCATCCCGTCTTCAAAAGGTTAATGACAATTTTTTCGCCAATGCCATTTTATTAACAACCTTGGTTTAGTTTGTCAGAAGTACAATGTCCAGGGACACAATTTCAACAGTTGGTAGTTTTTCATTTTTGTGTAAAGATCCCGATTATAAATGATGTAGTTCTTTTTAAATCCTACATCCTTGGTAAGAATGCTAAATTTTGCATCATTTTCTTACAGCATAACATTATTTTGCTCCATTCACGAAGTTTTAATATTCCCCCCCCCCATTTTTCTCTTTGGTGCTTTTAGGATTATTCCACACCATTTACTTTGACTAAAGGGTAGAATAAAGTTTTTTAGTGCATTCTTTGCCAAAATGGCAAATGCTGCTTTTTAAATACCTGAAAAGCTGCAATGTCTTTTAGCATAATTTGCGCATTGTATTTTTAGTGTTATCGTTATAAAGGCATGATTTATAATTCTAGGTCTTTAAATTTCATTTTACAGTAACGTACGATTTGAATTATTTTTGTATTTTAAGTGTTTTCAAGGATTGAATTTGTGTTGTGACTCTCTGGGAGCAAAATTTGTAGGTAAAGATTTTAAGATTATTTTTATTTCTGCACTCAAATAATTATGGATAAAATGAGCATACAGTACTCCATAACTCTTCAATTTAAAAGTTTTAATTAATTACCCCCTCATGAGTCTATCTCAATCATTAAAATATGAATCATTAATATGGAGATTTCATTTGCAGATTTTCATCAAGTTTTTTTTCATCAAGTTTATTTTTTTTAACTGCTAAAAAGTTTTTTCCATACTTTAATTCTAAATGCTTAATACCAAATTCAAAATGTTTTATTAGTTCACACTGTTTACTTAATCTAAATTTACAATTAAAATATTTCTTAAATTTCTCAGATAGTATATAATCTTTATATTAAAAATTTTCTATTTAGCAAAAATATATGCACAAAATGTGTAAATCTGCCATGACTGCAAGCTGCTTCTTACTGCATCTACATGACTTCAATGTCTATGTTCTTAGCCCAAATCATCACATGCACGCACATATATACACATATATATGTATATATAGAGAGAGATGATAAAAGATTACTTTCTGAAAATGTTTATCTTTGTAGAAAACTATGAAACAGTCTCAGCTAGAAGTTCTCAGTAACCTGCTTAAGTTGGGCTATTAAAACCAATCCTATGAAACTTGATATTGATGTTTTCAGCTCTTCTAAGAAATTTGGTTGATCTCTGCAGAATAATATCTTTAACACAGTCTCAAGTCAAATGACAGTATCTCAAGTTTATTAGGGAGGTAAAACAAGTCCTTCACTAAAGCAGATGAAATTATTAGCATAGTTAATTTTGAGCATGCCCAGGATGTCACATGCTGAAAATGAGGGAACTTATTCCACCTAAAATCATCCATCTTGGATCCAGCAAGTAGGCATCAGTAATGAACCCTGTTCTCAAGAACTTCATGTAGTGTTTTGAATGTAGCATTTAAACACACCAAACTACTTTCTAATGGTTTCAGCAGATTTTTGGCCACAAAAGGAAAAATGTTTCGATTCAAAAATGCGAGTCTTCGATAGAATATCGGTAATTCTAATGAAAAAAATTTCAAACAAAAACAATGACTCTGTAAATTAGGTTTATTATTCCCTAGGGTCCCTGTACAAGTAAGCAAAATTTGGTGATACTAGGTATACACATTGAAGAGATATTCAAATAACAAATTAGCCACATGCATTGGAACATTGTGCACAAAACTAATCCCAGATATCAACTAGTTTAAAAAAAACCTCAATGCAAAAGAATGAATTTCTTAAAAAATGATTATTTAATACTGATCATACAGCAGAAATGTTGCTGATTTCTTTACAAATATAGTAAAGCTACATTACTGACTATACAATGTGAAATAAATGAAGGTTTCTAGCAGCATATGAAAAGTTCAAATACAGTCAAAAGTCTTTAACCCGGACTAGTCGGGACTTCTGCGATTCCGGATTATTGGTTTTTCCAGATTATAGATCATCAGTTTAAATCTGGTAAGATGGCATGCAGAAATTATGAAATTAAAAATATGAAACCGTAATTTATGAAATAAAGAACAAAAAGGGTATCAAAATTTACAAAATAAAGCTTAATATTTATTTGTTTACTATTAAACATTTCTTTCAATGCGTGCATGCATAAAGCATACATTACGCATAGTCAAAATTAGAAAATTGCAACCAGAAAACTATTTAATGTGTATTCGTAAAATTTATAATGACGAGGAATTTGATTTAAATCATATCAAAGGCGGAGTACATCGAAATGAAACACTACATTTAGTGAGGAATTATAAGCCGAATAAAATAAAAACATCTGCCCTGAAGATAAGGATAGTGCTGACAGATCAACTTCCAGTTCATTGTGCGCCGCGACGTCCCCCCCCCCCGCAGAGCAGCGTGAAATTGATAAACAGGTTTCGGAATGGTTAGAGAAACAAAGGATAGGCCTTTATCCATTTTTTGCAGTAATTCTGATGCAATAGCAAAGTTTAAAGTTTATAAAATTAAACATTTAGCAGCATTAGCAATAGAAGCTCCCTAAGATTATATGTTGTACAGACATTGAAGACAATAAAAGGTTTCAAACTTAACCAATTTATTAACAATATATAAAAAAAAATAAATAAATAAAAATACAATGAATAAATTTAAACAATATCAGTAACTTAGAAAATTATAATATAACCAAAATTTCATATATTAAATAATATTTTACCTGGTCTCCAAAATACTGGCATTCAATATGCGAAAAATGTATCCTAAACAGAAATTATGCGGTTTTAAATGAAATTAGCTACACTGTCAATAGATCCACGCTTAATGATCAAAAAGCACCTGAAAATTAAATTAAGTCCTTGAGGGCACTTAAATCCAGCCTAACGCCGCTCACTGTAGTTGAACACGAGGAATCATAGCCCAGTAAAACATCGCCGCTAACTT